TAAAACGATATCTCGACAACAAACAAAGCAGCAACCTCAAACTAGACACCGAAACTCCCGACACGACCATCACAACCAACACAAATGAAACTTCCAAAATAACAACTCTATACTTCAAACTACCATACATCGGACATTACTCGCGACACACACAACGCAGACTTACAAACATTATGAAACGCTTCTGTACAGATATTGACATTTGACTATTTTTCACATCATTCGAAATCAAAAACCTTTTCTCATTCAAAGACCAAATCCATGATTCGATGATGAACCCCTCATTCAAAGACCCAATCTATGATGGTATATGAATTCAATTGCGCTGGATGTAATTCCCGATACATTGGCGAAACTTCGCGCCATTTATCCACCAGAATCAGGGAACATACCACAACAGAAAAAAACTCTCATATCTACCGACACCTTCTTAAACCTCACTCATGTAAAACCAACTATTCACCCTCTTGCTTCAAAATCATCGACACTGCAGACACCTCATTCACCCTTAAAATCAAAGAAGCACTCCAAATTAACAAAACTAACCCTGACCTCAATGTTCAAGTTTTTAAATTCAATACAATATTTAGTTTGTATTACGCTGGGACGCTCCATATTAATTTATCTTATTTCCTTGAAAAGTGAACGCGCGTTTGAATAGTTATCTTATTTCCTTGAATAGTATGTGGAATACGAAACCAAAATATCAAAGAACGCTTTAAACACAGCTTTCGGCAGTGTTAAATCCGACTCTCGAAGTAATACTTCGAGAAGTCGGATTTAACACTACTTTCGGCAGTGTTAAATCCGACTCTCGAAGTAATTAAGTTCTACTTCGAGAGTCGGATTTAACACTGCCGAAAGCTGTAGATATATGTCGAGCGTCTGAAGTATCTCGCGAGCAAATGAAATCTCTAAACGACCAGAATTCTGACAATGTCGACACATTGGGGAATTATCAGCTAAAACATGGTTATGAAGGGAAATTTCACAACCAAAAAAGCAAAAACAACAAACCGGAAAACGGAAGATCTCCAAAAAAATGCGGCAATTGCGGTCGAATTCACGAGCCGAAATCATGTCCGCATATGGGAAAAAATGTAATAATTGTCAGAAATTGGGACACTTCGCTAAGTACTGCCGATCACAAACAAAAAACAACAAGAAATCGATACATGACGTCGATTATGAAAGGGACTCTTCAGCGCACGGAATAGATATGGTAAAGACAGCTGTCAAAAGTGACAGTGATGAGGAACACGCATATCTAAAAATAAACAACAAGACAATCCGAGTGAAACTTGACTCTGGGACAGAAACAAACGTTCTGAGTAAGAAAGATTATGAAACTATTATTCCAAAGCGGCAACGTTTTAGTAAATTGAAGCTCAGTACAGCAAAATTGACTGCTTTCGGAGGCCACAATATTCCAGTCATAGGGAAATGCTATTTAAAATGCCAATACAAAGGAACAACGCAAGTACTCGAGTTTCAAGTGGTTGAAAATGGTAAATCATTGCTTGGATGCGCCAACTGCAAAAGTATGAAGCTCGTAACATTCCACAATGTAGATCAATTGCGCAGTAAACAGAACGACGGGACTACACACATAAGTTCACTGACAGGACTTTCCAGAGATCAAATATTTGAGAAATACTCAAAATGCTTTGACGGATTAGGACGCATATCAGAACCTTATCATATCAAGATCAACCCTAATGCAACACCTGTCGTTCATCCTCCTCGTAAGATACCTTCAGCACTGAGAGAACGTGTCCACAAGTACCACAACGAGCTAATAGATATGGAATCCAAAGGAATAATTAAGAAAGTGAATGAGCCGACAGCATGGGTCAACTCGATGGTAGTTAATGAAAAATGCTCTGGAAAGTTACGCATTTGCATCGATCCACGTGACCTCAACAAAGCTTTGCTCAGAGAACATTACCAGCTTCCCACCCAGCAAGAGATTACCAGCCGTTTGACCAAGGCCAAATTCTTCAGCAAACTGGATGCAAACTCGGGATTTTGGCAAATGCCTCTTGACGAGGAGAGCTCTTACCTGACGACGTTTAATACGCCATTTGGTCGATATCGTTTTACCGTAATACCCTTTGGAGTAGTGTTCGCACAAGAGGTGTTCCATAAAACAGTACACAAGAAGTTTCAGCATCTACCGGGATGCGAAACAGATATCGACGATATACTAATCTGGGGACGGACACTGGAGGAACACGATCGCAACCTGGAGCGTGTTCTCAATCGTGTAGCAGACGTCAATATGACACTAAGCAAGGATAAGTGCCAGTTTCGAGATAACATACCTTGGAGAAACGCTAAGAGCATGTGGTGTCAAACCTATATAGGTTGAAGCAATCAAGAACTACCCCAAACTAGAAAACAAGCAGGACGTCCAACGATTGTTGGGCATGGTTAATTTCATCGCCAAGTTTGCACCAAATGTTTCGGACATCACCGCTCCACTGAGAGAACTTATAAAGAACATTGAATTCCACTGGCATGAAACACATGAGAAAGCATTTCAAGATCTACAACATTTACTAACTCATCCTAATACTCTCCGTTATTACGATGTAGCAAAACCAGTGATACTCCAGGTCGACTCTTCACAGAATGGCATTGGAGCTGCTTTAATTCAAGACCAGGGTCCAGTAGCCTACGCATCAAAAGCCATGAATGACACACAACGACGTTACGCACAGATTGAGAAGGAACTGCTAGCTGTCGTCTTTGCCTGCAAACGCTTCCATCAATATGTCTACGGTAAAACCATAACCGTTGAAAGCGACCATAAACCCCTGGAAGTAATATTCCGAAAACCACTATCTCAAGCACCCAGTCGACTCCAGAAAATGTTGATGCAGCTGCAATCCTACGATATAAATCTGGTGTACAAGAAAGGAAGCGAAATGTACATAGCTTATGCGCTCTCGCGTGCATTTCCTCCCGAGATTATACATGAACAATTTGAAGAAGACATTGCGTCAGAAAGATTTATCCATCTGATGTCATCAAAGTCTTACGTCACAGACCGGAAACTTCAAGCCATCAAAGATGAAATCCGCAAAGACAAGACGATGCAACTCTTGGTACAGCAGATACAAGACGGATGGCCGCCTCATAAGATATTGATACCATCTGAATTAAAACCTTATTATCCATACCGTGAAGAACTGACAACGGAAGATGGTCTTATCTACAAGAGCCACAACATCCTGATTCCACCAACATTGCAAGCTGATACCCTCCAGAAACTGCATCAATCGCATCAAGGCACTGAGAAGACCAAGAGACTGGCTATAGAGAGCATATTCTGGCCAGGTATGAACGCACAAATAGAAGAACTAGTGTCAAACTGCTCAACATGTCAGCACTATGCAAATGACAATCAACGAGAGCCACTCCATCCACACGATATTTCCAGTCGTCCCTGGCAAAAAATTGGCTCTGACCTTTTTGACTGGAATGGAAAACCATATCTAATAGTTGTTGATTATTATAGCCGGTATCCCGAAGTGGCTGAACTTCGAGACACGAAAGCACAAACAGTTATTAACAAGACAAAGTCCATATTCAGTCGTCATGGAATCCCAGAAACTGTAGTGTCCGACAATGGCCCACAATACTCGTCGGAAGAATACAGACAGTTTGCAAAAGACTATAACTTTTGTCACAACACCATAGATATCCGAGATATCCACAGTCTGGTGGATTAGAGATATCCACAGTCTGGTGGATTACATGAGAAGACAGTCCAAACAATGAAGAATATTCTAAAGAAATGCAAAGCTAACGGCGAAGATCCATACCTCGCGTTGTTAGATTATCGTCAGTGGCGTAGCTAGCGAAAAACATTTGGTCGGGCTCACGAGGCGCCACCATGGTTGGCGCCGAGCGAGAAAATTTTCCGAATTTAGACTCCCTAGAACGTCGGAAACGGCTATCTTAGAAAGCAAATGCGTGATATTTATGCAGGAAATAGAACCATTTTGGTTAATTTAAATTGCCGAAGGATCTTATAGTAAAGCAGAGAAACAGTTCAAAAATAGTTGCAGATATGTGATTTATTTTCTCAACACCACATACATAAATAGATACCTATGTACATCTTGTAAAGAAACTTTGACAAAAGAACCGAAAAAGGCTCAGATTTGTCATCAACAACTATCAAAAGTTGTGATGAAATTGTCGTGCTGAAATGACAATCATCATTGACTGCATTAAAAAGTTCCCTGAAAAAGTCTCACATGCCATGGACATCATCAGCTTGCTATCAGCCATATATGAATACCTATTTGTATAAGAAAGCAAGTCTTCGTGGTTTTTCAATGAACTTCTTTACTACCTCATCATGCAATGTGTTGGCGTCTTATTTCTCTGATAGTATGTCTTTGTGAATGGCAATCCTGCAAAGAGAACTAAAACGTCCTTGGCTCACAGTATTTCTAAGATAATTTTTACCCTCTTCAAACAAGAAAATGACCTCTAAACTGAAGCACTTGTAATTGACAAAACCCCATTTATCTTTAACAGTTTTACAACTTCTGGAATACTAGATTGATAATGGAACTAAAAAATATATTTCAATAGTTCATCGCATGAATCACAGTGAAAGTCTTTATCTCTGTAAATAAAACAAAGTTGGCTAACTAGCATTGGTATGTCAAACATATCACCATAAACCTCCTTTAGAAGATTTATCTTTTCTGAGGGCACTTCACCTTTCCACATCTTAAACACCCTAGGGTTAACAAGGTCAAAAATCTAAAACGCTCCATATCCTGAAATCGCTCAGTCAGCATAGTCACAATTGTGTCAAGAATTTCAAAATACATTTGTTTGTACCTGGTTACTGGTGGTCCCACTTTCTCAACAGCCAGGTCGTACACCTGACAATATTCTGTATCATTTCTCAGAGGAGCAACAAAGGCCTTGAATCTCTCAAACCTACTCATTCCATAATGAAAGTCAGTGTTCTTGTCTTGCAAGATAGAATAAAGTATGGATGACTGCTCAAGAATTCTCTGGAAAACATGTACCAAGAAACAAAACAAGAAGCCATTAAGGTAGCCAAGTAAACCAGTAACCTTACTTAACGTTTCATCATCCCAACCTATTGGATTATCAGTAAGATTTTCAAATATGTCTATCAGTTTCTCATAGTTAGAATGCAAGACATTGATGACATGAGCCCTATAATACCATCTTGTGTCACCAGGACTAGGAAACTCAAGCCTATGGGATGATAGTAAAGCTTTTCTTTTGGGGGAATTGCTAGTAAAGGTGCAGAAAGCACTAATATTAACAAAGAAAATCTTAACAGGTGAAATGGAGGATGCAGCTTGACATAATACTAGATTTAGTCTATGGGCAGCACAGTGAACAAATTGAGCATAAGGATAATCCTGCTGAACTTGAGCTTGAACACCATTGAGATGACCAGACATAACAGATGCACCATCATAAGTCTGTCCAATAAATTTCTCTTTCACATTATTATATTGACTTAACTTACCCTTAACCACTGATGATATAGCAGTTGCAGTCCTATCACAACTAACATCAACAAACCCAAGCTGTCTTTCAATGACACTTTCCCCTTTGTCCATTCGAACAATTACACTCAATTGTTCTTTGGTAGAAACATCAGTTGCCTCATCAACCTGTATACTTAAGAAAGTGCAGCAATATATTTCCTTTAAAATCTCATCCTCTATTATCTTATCAAGACAATCAATCAAATCATTCTGAATATCAGGAGAGACTCCAGTAAACTGCCCTCCCCCATCAAGGTGGGTTTCAGCAAGCTTTCCATGTAATCGCCTTTCAAAAACAGAATCCATCTTGGCAAAACTTTCAAGTAGCTCTATAATTTCCTCTATTCATGCTGTTACTAGATTCATCATGCTCCCTAAATGCAAGCTCTTGCCTAGACAAGTATAAAACAGCTTCTGTTCTGGTTTTCAACATTTCCCTGTTTTGCCTTACCTCCTCGTTATGACGCAGAATCTCTTCACGTCTAGCTTGTGACATGAGACAGTCGACACGAGGCTGAAAACCGTAGGTCTTCCAGGTCTTGTAAGCACCCATGTGCGATTTTGCCTTCTCATGCTTCTTACAATCGGATAGGAAATTCTTCATGTTTTTGAATCCCGTCTGCGTCCAAGAAGATGACGATAAAGCGCAAAATAAAAGACAAGACTAACAGAACAATGCATTATTTTCTGAGCTACCACAAAGCCAATCTTTCTTCGAGTACCAACTTTCCTGAAAGCTTCTATTGCCTGTCGTCGCTTGTAAATTTGGAATTGGCCGCTGCTTTACGAGTATATTTTGCTCGCCCGATTGTCGAACAGAAAAGAGTTTCTTTTGTAGTTCACTTATTATATCGATTTCATTAGCCGAAGCCAATGTAATGTAAGTTATCACGATTTCCCAAGGTATATTTCGAAAGCTCAAAATTCAAGTCACGCTTTTGAAAATGAGCCCGACTAGATGTTGTTAAACGTGTGGGTGTGTTCACAGCTACTCACAACCAATCAGATTACAGATATTTCCATTATAGATTTTACTACTTGGTCGGGCTGAATTTTCAGAGCCCGACCATTGAGTTCTATTATAACTGGAGCGGCTATCTCAAGCACGGCCCATTGAGTTCTATAATAACTGGAGCGGCTAACTTTACTGGGGCGAGGATGCCAAAAAAATGGCGGCCAACGGACGTATTTCCGCTGAAATGATCGCTTTGCAGAAAAATAAGATTCTCGACCTCCCCCTGGTGTCTATAGTAAATTATAAAAATTTTCAAAACAACACGATATCACAGAATATGGATATCGTTAGTTCCATATTCTGTGACGATTCTTTTTGGCATTTCTTTATAATGCCAACACTTCAATTGTTCAATTGTTGGATGTCGTAGTCCACAAAAGGAACATATCGCTTCTCACAGGTGAGGTAGTTGTTTGTTTTGTTAGTCCGTCGACGATTGAAAAGCAATTATACATGCACTTGAAAAGCCATAAAATACATATTAAAGATCGTATTTTTTAAGATTGACTTGAACGCTAAATATACTGATGTTTTCCTGTTTTTGTCTATAAAATCTGCATACTTTTCTGTCATTTGTTAATGCACGAAATCGTAAATTTACCTATCTATTTGCAAAATAGTTTCCCTAAAGCAAAAAAGACCCTGCACACATTTTGCTCTGTGAAAAGTATCAAAAAGAAATGATCAGCCCAAACAGTACCCATGATTTGGAGCAGAGCTTGTTATGTTCTATTTGCTGACAACATGCAGGAAGACCAAGGAGAAAGATGACTGGAAGATGTTATTGACCAGGCAGAGTCTTAAAAAAGTGATAATGCTGTAAAGATAATTGATTTATTGTCTTCCTTATCCAGAGTTATTTAATTTGATCATGGTCAAATTCTATGGATGGAGACAATGGATTCACTAATGATGCCTTGAATGCTTTTAAGTTAAAGTTCATGAACCAAAAAAAGATGGCAAGAAGGTTGTGTGTGTTTTGATGCTTAATTGAATGTCAATTCACAATATATAAAATGGAAAGGCCATAAAGTTTGTGTCTATGTAAACATTTGTACTGAGATTGATGATGACTCGATGCAGATGTGAAGCATCAAACTGTATAAGCCATTGGGTTTTATATAACTTAATGTTTAAATCATGTCATATCTTTATCAAAATAATTTAGTTGAGTGTTGTTTAAATGTTACTAATATCTAATGCACTATACTGAAGCATTAAAGATTCAGTGATGAAACCTTTAAAATTACTGTACTGTATATTTCTTATATTTCTTTAAGAAACAGTTTGAGCTTATTTACCTATTAGAGTACAGAATGGAGATTTATCATATGCATCATTGCTGCTTTTTTAAAAAAATGTTTTTCACTTTTCAAAGCTTTTCTACAAAAATTGCTTCTTATTTCTTTTCATGAGATTGATGATATAGAGGTAATATAATCACAATAACTTTTATAATTTCTAGAAAGCTTTTAAGCCTTGCCTTTTATTGCTTGCTATGACATATCCATATGCATTTCATCATTCATGTATGAAGAAAACACCAAATGGATACTCAGAGAACAAAATGCACTACCAACTGCTTATGAAATTTATTATTGAAGTGAAAACTGTGTTAATCATTCAAATTGTGCACTTATATTGAAAATATAGGAAAAACAAAAAAAGTGAAAAAGAAGGGTAGAAGTATTAAAACTAAAAATATATTATAAACACCATTGGAAGCATAAGTGTTTTGATGATTATTTGCATTTTTCCACTTCATATATCAATACAACAAAATCAAAATGTGTGCAGGGTCTTTTTTGCTTTAGGGAAACTATTTTGCAAATAAGTGGGTAAATTTACGATTTCATGCATTAACAAATGACAGAAAAGTATGCAGAATTTTATAAACAAAAACAGGAAAATATCAGTATATTTTGCGTTCAAATCAGTCTTAAAAAATACGATCTTTAATATGTATTTTATGGCTTTTCAAGTGCATGTATAATTGCTTTTCAATCGTTGACGGACTAACAAAACAAACAACTACCTCACCTGTGAGAAGCGATATGTTCCTTTTGTGGAAACTACGACATCCAACAATTGAACGATTGAAGTGTTGGCATTATAAAAGAAATGCCAAAAGAATAACGTCACAGAATATGGAACTAACGATACCCATATTCTGTGATATCGTGTTTGTTTTTGAAAATTCTTTATAATTTACTATAGACACCAGGGGAGGTCGAGAATATTATTTTTCTGCAAAGCGATCATTTCAGCTCGCCTAGCTAGTTAAATAGAACTCAATTTTCGACTCAGATGTTGCGAAACAGCGCATTTGAGTTTGCTCAGTTGCTGTCAACCAATCAGATTGCAGATAATCCCACTATAGATTTTACTATTTGGTCGGGCTGAATTTTCAGAGCCCGACTAAACTGCGTAAGCACTGTAATGCCTGGCACTAGAAATACACTAGTCATTGTTGCTAAGTAACGATTAAAAAAATAATAATTTTGCTAATAACGACGCAATTTGACAAATATTACACTAATAGACTGTGGATTATTCCAAAAAGAGTCGCAGAATTTAAAATTGTCGCAAAACCGATTTTAAAGAAAACAAATTTTTCATTTTTGGGAAAATATTTGGTCGGGCTGGGCCCGACCAGCCAGACCGCTAGCTACGCCACTGATTATCGTAATACTCCTATTGACGGTGTAACTCCGGCGCAAGCACTAATGAGCAGACGACTTCGATCAACCATTCCCACCTCTCAAAGAAAACTAAATCCAAAGCTCATCAACCAAACTACGTTTAAAGCAGCACGTCCACAACAGCAAGAACAGAAAAGAAAACACTATGACCGCACAGCCAAGTCTTTGGCACCACTGGAAGAAGGAGATATTGCTCGATTTCGCAAAGATCCTGCAGCACCATGGACTCGCGGAACGGTAACACGAAAACATGAAGCACCCAGAAGCTACATAGTAAAAGGGAAAACGGGACAGAATACAGACGGAATCGCAGACATCTAAGAAAGACAAATGAAGAAATATCTGATTACAACACCACGGATATTGACGGTGCTAAAGTTCTGACTCCGCAAAAACAAGAAGCCAGTAAAGAAAAAGACAACGTCTCAAATCCTACACAAACTGATACAATTCACCAAGTAAAAACAAGTCGTTATGGTAGACGAATCAACCCAAATCCAATTTACAAGACCTGAAATATAAACGTGTTATCTATAGCGCCTGAACACTTAAACTTAAACTATTTTCAATTAAAGAAAAGAGGGATGTAATATATGCACATAACTAACTATAAACTTCCGTTATGTCATATATAATTAACATGCACTGAGGCATGACTTCATTATTACATTAGCACATGTAGAGAGCACAACGTGTAAGCTGAGAGATAGCACAATAAACGTAGACTAATAACTATCAGAGTTATTACAGTACCTTCCTCTTTTCTTAATGTTGTAGTGCGAGGTACTTTCCTCTTTTCCTAATATTGTAGTGCGAGGTACTTTCCTCTTTTCTTAATGTTGTAGTGTGAGGTACATTCCTCTTTTCTTAATGTTGTAGTACGAGGTACCTTCCTCTAGTTCCTAAAAACCGAATTCTTAAACACAAAAGAAATATATTTACTTCGATCAGGCTATCTTGCTTCACACTAAATCCAGTGAGAACACCAACATCGATAATTGACATTCCTGCGCTTTCATTAACAGTCAAAAACCTGTAGAAATGTAGCGTTTTACACATCTGGTAAAATAAAGAATGTATAACAGCTTGCTACCAAAAAGTTAAAACATTTTACATTTTACATTTTACGTTCTCGAGCTGTGAATAAATAAGCGCTTACCTGGATCATAATAGTCGTACACGGACACAGGGACAGGTTGAACTATTCCGACTTCAAAGTCACGTTTGAACTCCAGATTGAAACAAAGCGCGTGTGTGCTATTTGTCCAGGTACAAATACACTTGTCGGTCAGATATTTCAAACTTCGCTATTCCTGGATTAGCTTTATCTTGAAGCTAAAAGAAAATGTAATTTTTAACAAATGGATTCAAAGAATTAGGTATATATTTTTTTACGAGGGAATAGCGAATAAAGAAAAACACTTCAATTGCACGAAATCTGAATACTGTTTTTTTTATTGTTCTGTTTGTTTGAAAAATATTTTAATGGTCGCCAAGCTACAGATAAAATTGAACGATCCATGAAATTAAGACCACATTTTCATTCTGGTGCAACTGATTTGTGTAGTTCCTAAAAACCGAATTCTTAAACACAAAAGAAATATATTTACTTCGATCAGGCTATCTTGTTTCACACTAAATCCATTGAGAACACCAACATCGATAATTGACATTCCTGCGCTTTCATTAACATTCAAAAACCTGTAGAAATGTAGCGTCTAGGGCGGATCTAGAGTATGTCAAATCCGTCGCGCGACTGATGTTTGAAATTCAAAAATTACCTATTCATATTAATTAAAATCATTAATTATTCTTACTTTATTATCGCATTTACTTCGTGATAAAAATCCAGCTTTATTTATTATTGAAAACTAATGACTAATCCAATGAAAATCTCCTTGGTAACCAGATCAGTTGAATTTTAATTGACCTGGAATAACCGACTGATAAGCGGGGTGATGATATCATCTGCAAATCTCAGGTTGTTCATCCTCTCTCCATTGATGTTAATTCCCACTTCAACTTCCATTCTACTGAATATTTCTTCCAGCGCTGCTGTAAACATCACTGGTGACAAGGTGTCTCCCTGCCTCACCCTCTTCATCTTGATTTTTCGGCTAGTTGATTCAGTTCGAATCTGAGCTGTGCTTCCATTATATGTTTCTTTTAAGATGTTGATGTACTTTTCCTGTACGCTGTGCTGTTTTAGCGCCTCAAGACAGCCTTATGCTGGATGGAGTCAAAGGCTTTTCATAGTCTACAAATGCCATGTGGATGGGTATTTTATACTCATTGGTTTTCTCGAGTATTGCAAAACTGACTGCAGATGGTCGATGGTGGAATGACCTCTTCTGTAGGCTGCTTGTTCTGGTGGTTGGTGGTCACTAGGGTGTTGTTTAATCTATTTTTCAAGATCTTCATGAAGAGTTTGTAGACTTGAGAGAGTAAGCTGATTGGTCTGTAGTTTGCGAGGTTTTTCTGTCTCCTTCTTAAATATGAGTGTGATGATGGCATTTTCCACCCATTTGGCACTATTTCTTCAGTCATCACTCTATTGAAGAGCGTCCTCAGCTTCGATCTGACCACTTCTGCCTCCGCTTTTAGCATTTCAATCACAACCTGATCTTCTCCTGGTGCTTTGTTGTTCTTCATACTTTTCATTGCGTGCTCAATTTCACTGTCAAGGATCGGTGGAACATCCTCTGCCTCTTCTTTTCTGATGTTCTGGGCTGCATCTTGGTATAAGTTTTCATAAAATTCTGCGCACCTCTCCAGAATTCTCTCCCTGTTATTGATGACGGTTCCATCATGTTCCTCTAAAGTTGGTATAAGAACCTTGCAGCCTTCTTTCTAAAGTTGGTATAAGAACCTTGAAGGGAGGAAAGATGGAATGAAAATGAACAAAAAGAAGACAAAGATCATGTGCAATGAAATAGCAAAGAAAAGGAGAAGAAAAGGAATATCGATTGACGGAGAACGGCTGGAAGAGGTTGAAGAGTACAAGTATTTGGGAAGACTACTAACACCAGGAAATGAGATGGCGAGAGAAATAGATGAGAGTATAACATCAGCTTGGAAGAGATTTGGACAGTACAGCATGTTCATGAGAGATCAAAGAATGCCCATGTGTCTCAAAAGGAAGATCATGGACACTGTCATACTACCAGCAATGACTTATGGAGTAGAGACGTGGGCACTTACCAACCATCAAAGAGAGAAACTGGCAATCACCCAAAGAAGTATGGAAAGATCAATGCTCGGTGTCACGAGGAGAGATAAGATCCGGAATGAAGACCTGAGAGCAAGAACAAAAGTGAAGGATGTCATGGAGAAAGTTAATAAAGCCAAAGGAAAGTGGGCAGGACATCTAGCCCGAATGAAAAATCATGAATGGGCAAAGAAAACAACCGAATGGACCCCGTGAGACAAGAAAAGAGGCAAGGGAAGACCAAAAAGGAGATGGAGAGATGACATCGAGCAGAGAGCGGGCAGCATGTGGACCCAGAGAGCCCAAGACCGTAAAGAGTGGAGAAAGATGTGGAGGCCATCCGCCAGCAGTGGCGTGACAGGCTGATGATGATGATGATGAAGCGGGGTGGCTTGACTGGTTCGACTTATAAAGGAGTCTATGAACGCCAGAAACGCTATTTTATTGGTCAATGGCCAGATCAGTGGACAGTCTGGAATAATCTCGACCGATAATGGGGTGGCGGACTTATAAGGAGTCCAATTGCTATCTTACAATTGGTTCATTTGAATTTTGTCTTACTGTGATTGGTTTGACCGATTTCGACTGATAGCCAACTGAACTAACATAGTCAAGCTCACTGTCTGAATTGAATGTTTGATCGTTTCATAGTAATTTTATAAGCATGATAGAAACTAAACTACAATCAGATGGAATTTATGGAAATATTTTACAAATTCATATGTTGACATGAATGCTGCTTTCAAAATGGGAATTTTTCAAGAGGGTGAAAAATTTATGGATGAATTGTAAATGCTTGGCAAAGACGATCTCGCGAGCGACATTTCAGTCATTGATGTTCAAAACAAAGCCAACATTGTTTTGAGTTTTATCAGCAGAAATTTACATCGAAAATCGTAAGTAAAGGACAAGTGAAGTGTATGCATGAATGCAATATATCAAAGTCAATTTATGCGAGTGTGTGATGCGATTTATGTTAATATGGCGTATGGTAAGCAGACTGATGCTTCTAAAATTGTTGTTGCCGAAGGACTTTAGCTATGATTTCTTTAATGCTTGGGGAATCGTGGCCGTTATATGGCAGCGAAATCCTACATTTCTGCAAATATATTTCAATGGACAAAAAATCTGTAGCCATAAGGTGCCATACTATTATTTACTTTATCATAAACAAATGTTTGGGGCTTTTCAGTTTATGATCATTGATCATTCAATCATTAGACAGTTATACTCATAGATATAGTAGGTCTAGATTACTGACGAGCCGCCATATTGCGTGACATTCATGATAAATCCAAGATGGCGTGGGAACCGGGCAAAAAACATAGAGTCACTATAGAGCAATTGATGTTTTTCGCAATTTACTTCTTTTCATTGTTTTCAAACTCTTCCGATCAAGTTTTATTGGAAACAAATCGTTATTGCAAGTGTTTTGAAACCATATTGGACAGTTATTATTAAAATACGGGCGAAAATATCACTTTCGAAATATTGTGTAAATTGGTCATTTGGTTGTCTCGAGTCGTTCATCCACTAAAATAAACAGATTTTGTCAGCTTTATCTCACATACTGGTTTGTTGCGCATTGAAATATATCATATTGACAATTTATAGAAAGATGGGAAAATCAATCTGAACATTTATGACAAAAAAGCAATTTATTTACGAAGGTACTCCCACTGTACTCGTACTGATATGTGAGATTCATCCACAGTTTAGTAAGGCCATTCGACGCTGAATGGAGAGAGGAGCAAGGAGATACATAACACTGCAGCACTATTGTTTACTGACTAGATCTTAGAAAAGCTGTTAATGTTGGGAAACGTAGCTGAAGGAAACTTGCCTCATCTCATTTGCTATACTGATGAGATCTTACAGCTAAGTTGTTATACGAAAGAGAAGAAAACATATGTATGTTCAGTAGCTTGTTATATTACTGGTTATTTCAAAATCTGACATAGTAACATTCAAATGCATAACTCAAGATACTGTTACAATACAATTTTTGGAGAGAGTTATAAAGCTCTGTATAAAGTACTTTTTTTTTTTACCAGAGCTAAGGTGTTTATTGAATTTATATATTATCTTATAAAATATTTGATATAGATATTATCGGTGGCATAGCCAGACGATGTTGCTATGTAAATTTCACTGCATCATTGTTCATTTCATTAAAAATCTCTTGTTTTTACAGTCAGTGAACACAGCAACATTAGGATAGCATGACCAAATAAAAATGCTGGCTATGTCCCAGATTATTATAAGATGTAGCTGTGAATAAAATATATGTGACTTATATCCTCAATATACTTTGTTATAGTATATGTTTTTATTATGCTATAGCTACAAACACCATCCTTGACACCAGTTGTTTCTAAACTGAGGAGGTTATCCTTATTAAATAAATGCAATTATTATTATTATCATGTTACTCTTATTATTTGTTTTTCTTCTACAATGCCAATACAATTTTATAACTAAGAATGTCTAATTTGCATCACATTGTTAACATACAACTAATGACTTGCGAGACAAAAACTGTATCATACTGCTCAGTTGGTTCATTTTATGACACCTATGTACAAAGATAAGTAAAGAAGATAAAAACTTACGGATATTTTACCATTCAATACATGAAATTTTACGTGTAAAGAAAATTGCCATACAGTTACAGTTTTCAGTTACATATGTGTACAGTAAAATATTTGTACACCAGTTCTCCAAACTCTACTCCGAGAGAATAGTTTATAAAGGAGCGCCATCTAAGCGACAAAAGCTGACAAAACTCATCCTTTTTGGAAACGATTAAGACTGTGTCTGTTAAGTGCCAACACATATTTGAAGAATGAAAGAACGAATAGCATCTTGAAGTGAAATTTATGTAAAAAATATGAAGATTAATTTTCCCATCTTTTTGTATGTATTCAATATGATGTATTTCAACGTGGACGAACCAGTACGGGAGCTAAAGCAGACGAAATCCATTTATTTTGGTAGACAAACGCCTCGAGACAACCAAACGACCAATTTACACAACACTTCGCTAGCGATATTTTCGCACGTATTCCAATAATAATTGTCCAATATGGCTTCAAAACATTATTAATAACGCTTTGTTTCCAATAAAACTTGATTGGAGGAGTTTGAAAATACTGAAACGAAGTAAACTGCAAAAAACAACAATTGCCTAATAGTAGCCCCAAGTTTTTTGCCCGGTTCCCGCGCCATCTTGGATTTATCATGAATGTCACGCTGCCGTCTTAATAAGTCTTATATTACGTCACACTCGTCAGCGATCTAGACCTACTATATCTATGGTTATACTACATATTGTTTAAGATTTGAGAAAACTAACATTGATTACATGAGAAGCTGTTTACTATAACCTGTGATTTTGAGTCTTATGAACTATGAAGCTTTTTGTTTTGACAATTTGACTGGAATGGTATTAAACCTGAGTATTTCACATACATGAAATGTTGTCCCATGTCACATGTTGTCCCCTTTTCTAACTGAACACCTAATGTAGAGATGTAAAGGTGTGTGTTAATCTACGGCTCATACCAGCTTGTTTGCCATAAATTCCAAAGGGTTATTGATGTATGAAAAGCATTTTCTATAAAGTAAAAATGTCTTCCCATGTATGCAGATAAACCTTGAAATTTGGCAAAACAGCAAAGTATTGTTCATGATCACTAGGTAATTTTTCTGATTATCATTATAATTTCTAAACTAAATTATTTTAGATTTACATTTAAACAAGCTTTGATCATATGAAAAGATATTTATCATAACCAGTAAGCATGACACATAAACCATTTTTAACATTCATGTAATTATATAATTAAAGACATGTTGGTTACATTCTGTTTGTATTTGATAATACAATGCTACTAGTGATTGCTATATAGCACACCTTGCAGAAGATAATAGTCTAGTGAAATGCCTAATAAACATTTATGGCATTAGGCTAACCTTAACTGCAAATTTTCAATCTGATAATTTTTGCTTAATCTTTGGCATAAAAAAATTTTGAGTTTTTCACAAAGGGTGAATTTGCTGGCACTGATGTGGAGATGGGTAAAGAGTTACAATAAACTTGCATGGTTTGAAGTCTGAGCTTTTCTATATCTATGAACTGTCACTTGTAGTACCAAATTTCTAACTTAACTTATTACATAGAGGTTTGAATGGGGTCTCTAGGGGTCTATGCCTGACAACTTGGTAGAAATTTTAAAGAATATATCTGTTTTTGAATAGCATTATTGTAAAATAAATTTACGTTCCTAGACATGCTAATGAGCCATATATTTGGCATGATAATGAGCCTAAATATTTGGCAAAACATTCAAGTATTGTTCACTTTATTTTTTTTTGAAAAAAAACGTAAGAAAAATGTGTTGTTTTTACGCAAAAACGATGCCCACAAAATACATTTTGTATTGCTCTAAAACGCTGAAAATGGCATTTTCAAGACTTTGAAATTCAAAATTTCTCAGGGGAGAATGCCTCAGACCCCCCCAGGTGCGGAGCGCCTCTAACGTTTTATGACTGATGTTTGAAAATCCTAGATCCGCCCCTGGTAGCATTTTACACATCTGGTAAAATAAGGAATGTATAACAGCTTGCTACCAAAAGTTAAAACATTTTACATTTTACATTTTACGTTCTAGAGCTGTGAATAAATAAGCCCTTACCTGGATCATAATAGTTGTACACGGACACAGGGACAGGTTGAACTATTCCGACTTCAAAGTCACGTTTGAACTCCAGATTGAAACAAAGCGCGTGTGTGCTGGCTATTTTGTCCAGGTACAAATACACTTGTCGGTCAGATATTTCAAACTTCGCTATTCCTGGATTAGCTTTATCTTGAAGCTAAAAGAAAATGTAATTTTTAACAAATGGATTCAAAGAATTAGGTATATATTTTTTTACGAGGGAATAGCGAATAAAGAAAAACACTTCAATTGCACGAAATCTGGATACTGTTTTTTTTTTTATTATTTTTCTGTTTGTTTGAAAAATATTTTAATGGTCGCCAAGCTATAGATAAAATTGAACGATCCATGAAATTAAGACCACATTTTCATTCTCGTGCAATCGATTTGTGTAGTTCCTAAAAACCGAATTCTTAAACACAAAAGAAATATATTTACTTCGATCAGGCTATCTTGTTTCACACTAAATCCATTGAGAACACCAACATCGATAATTGACATTCCTGCGCTTTCATTAACAGTCAAAAACCTGTAGAAATGTAGCGTTTTACACATCTGGTAAAATAAAGAATGTATAACGGCTTGCTACCAAAAAGTTAAAACATTCGTTCTCGAGCTGTGAATAAATAAGCGCTTACCTGGATCATAATAGTCGTACATGGACACAGGGACAGGTTGAACTATTCCGACTTCAAAGTCACGTTTGAACTCCAAATTGAAACAAAAACTTTTGTAACGTTACTTTAAGTTTAACTTTTACTTTGTTTTTTTTTAAAGTTTTTTTTTAAGTTTTTTTAAAGTGTATTTGTAACTTTTTGTAACTTTTTAAAAGTACCTGTAGTGATAGGAGAGTCCAAGCCCACGGATAGTATGCCACATTGGACCCTTGAAAATAAAATATCCAGTCCATGTATAAAAACGTGCAAAAACCTCAATAAATTTTTCATCCAAAGCATACCTCCAAAGCAGTCAAACACTCAATGAAGACTAAAATAGCGGGAAAATCTGGAAATGTGTAAGTTTGAATACAACGACAGCATTGAATGAGAAATGATAATTCCACAGAACCAACTCCGATGATTTTACTTCCAACATTTTCTCATAAAAACACACACACATTTTGCACATTCTCCAACCTGATACAAACATAATGGATACATAGGAATAAGCATGGATAAATGGTGATTTAAAAGGAATTTAAAAAGAGTATCCTCTGGTAATACACACTGTAGTTGTGTTTTATATGGACAAGAGTTGGGAATGAATTCAGTCTCCCATATCTCGCTCGTCTTCTCTGGTAAAGTATTTACATTACAGGCCATGTGAACACGAATGTTATTATGGTGAGTTAATTTTTCACGTAATGAAAACAAATCTGTAATGACCTGGAAAAGATAGAGTTTAAATATGGCGAATAAAAAGATCACTGAGAGTATTTTTAATGTCTTTACCTCGTTAGAATCACTTTTTAAATCATTCAATATTTTGGTGAGAAAGTTCTTTTGATGAATGAAATTACTATATCTGTAAGGGCTTTCTGAAAAAACAACAGTCGATAACTAATACCTCACTTCACTAATACCCTTCTCATTTTGACTGACGTTTTGACAACCTTAGCGATTGTCGTCTTCTAAGTCGTCGTATCCTATTTTGTATACAGGATGACGTATGACAAATAAAGACAAATACGGCTAACCTGACGTTTACTCCTCACTTGACTCTTAAGATGACTTAACAAATATGCTTTTTATCATAGTCTCTTTGAAGTAACATTCAACACTCTACGTCGGCTGCAACTGGAATGCTCAACGTATTCTCACAAATTTCTTCATATGACGTAGGATCAGGCAAGGATCTGATTTCTGATGCGCTCGTAGATGCCACTTCACTTGACAAAGTAGTCGTACACTCGTACATGTTTCATCTATTTTCTCAGTTTCAGAAGAAGACTGAGAATGAACTAATTTGTTGACTTTAACATAACAATTCTCATGAAACGTTCGTTTTTTACCCTTCGATCGAACAAACTTCTTATTATTAGGCATTTTCACCAGATTTTGACACGATTACAACAAAGCATTTCACTGACTTTCTTTACAAGCATGAATGCATGAACATTCTGTGCCTAGTATTATAAAACTCTATTGTATATGAAAGATTATTAGAAAAACTGTCTAAAAATGATACTTTTGAAAAATTGAATTTTTCTTCATTTTTTTTCTATCGAGCCACCTTAAAAAATCATTAATAAGCCTCAGTTTAGTTAATGATAAAGACGATGGTGCTAACGGCCAGCGTTCATCTTGTGTTTTCAACTCTACGTCGCTTCATTTCACTCCAAACGGGCGATTGAGCTTCGGTCAGTGACTTATCGCTCGGTTTTATTTTTACATTCTTGTATTTGTGAATTGGTTGAGCCTTATGAACCAAATGTTGCCTCAACTTAACAAGGGCTTCTTGTTCCTCCTTCTCTCGTTGAGCATCGCGCTCTCTTCGTAATTCTTTGTCAATCTGTTCACGTTCTTTCTTGTTCAATTCCAGTTCTTCGTGTCGCTCCGCGCGACTGTTCGTGTTCAATGTGAACTCACTGACTTCAGTCAAAGGTTTCTTCGATTTCTGCGGCAGAAATGGAGCATCGTGGACAACTTTACATGGCTTTGCTTTGAAAATGGCAGTCGTTCGACTTTCTTCTAGTTCTGTTTTAATCTGAGAATACAAATAGCTGAAGCACCTCGACACTAGGAAAACTTACAAAAACCCTCACTGTTGATGAGAAAGCTTTGCAATTACAAACCTTCTGTATCCATTTTTCTGCCTTTTTCGCTCCTATGTTGTCAGTATTTAATAAAAATGGCATCATGTTGGTACCACATCTCGTTGCAACAGCTGGCAATGGATCTGGCGAATCTGATGGTAACGGTTGAGCTTTGAATTCTCTTAGCTAAATATAGCATAAACTATAAGTGTTGAGCTACTTTGAATCCTTTTTGATGAGAAAAACATGCAGACCAGTCCAGTCGTTTGAACTTTACCTTTTCTTCTTCCTTGTAGACGTCTTGGATTTTCTCTTCTTTTTTCTGCCATCTTTCTTTGTCTTTCTCAATAAACGAGAACGGTTTCGGTTCTGTGTGTTCGTGCTTCAGTTGAGGCCGGAAAATTTTCTCGAAATTCGGTTGCGGCATCGCTTTGAAATTCACTGCTGTCGTTTCCTTAAGGGTTATAAAGATAATAAAAGAAACGCATCTATTACAGGTAATTATAAGTTTACGTGTTTATTCCTCATGATAAAAAGCCGCGGGTTTAGAATAAAATTTTACCTCTGTAGATGATTTCTCTTTTCTTTTTAGTTGACGCTCGTCAGACTCGAACGAGAAAGGTTCAGGTTTTGTGGGCGCGATAGCCTCATGATATTTCACTGGGATTCCGTACATGCCATCGCATTCTACAATGCGACGGTCAAACGGTTTTGCTTTGAAGGTATAGCTGAAAAAAAGACGCGACTGTTTCAATGGTTTGTTGCTCAATGTATGTTGCAGAAGAACTAAAAGATAATGAAGTAAGATCAAAGGAACTATCATCGTCGAGAAGCTGGTGTTTTCATCTTACAACAAAGGTTTGTAGAAATGCAAGACGGAACCCGTTTTCAGATGATTAAATTGAGAACAGAAATTTAAGAGTATATGATATGACATCTGGACTAGTATCCAAGCCTACTAACTTTTTCATTTTTTCAACTTCTTTCTCTTCTTGTTCTTGCCAACTCAACACGTCACTACCAACGGGACGTGAGCGCGTCTTGGTGCTCAGATTCGGAGTCTTCGGGACGGTAAACGATTTTGTCTTCGTTACAACCGTATTGGCATTACTGTCTTCTTGGTTGTTTGCACAGGGCATGTTTTTATCGTTTGCTGCCTTAGTATGAAATCTTGGAGGCGTTAAAGTTTGAAACTTGTAAACTTGAAGAGCTACGGGAACGTATGAATCACTCTCTACACCGGCGTCTTTCTCCATTGTCGCATTCTTCTTTTTTTTTTGACCACCGTTGCTCAGATTAAAAGGTTTTGGTATTGTTACATTACGATTTTTCCATGTCTACAAGAATCGAAAGAAAGGATTGAGTTGCGCAGCAGATGCAACAGTTTGTACACATCATTAATAGTAGAGACAATTCTAATGCATTAGATTTTTTCTTACTGATTTACCTAGATAAACGACTATGGAGAAGGTTCAAATAGGCAAAAAACGAACAATGATAATCCTTCATTTGGGGCTATCCATTTTGTTTGAATTTTTTGTGATTAGTACAACAACAGTACATGAACAAACACATGTAACCCATCAGTTACATGTGTTTGTTGATGTACAAGATCATCCGCGTAAGTAGAGTACTGAGAAAGATTGTTGGTGTTGATGTTAACTGACAGTTCTGACAACCTTAGAATTAGTCATCTTCACAGTCAACTTCAACACCAACAGTCCTTCTCAGGACTCAACCAACCTGAATGATCTACATCTATTAACCGATTATTATTCAGTAAGTCACAAGGTGAATTTTTTATTGGTATTTCTTTACAAAAGTTAGATTTTAGGTTTACTGGTGAAGGTGGATGTTGTCTTAAACTGTTCCAAAATCCCTTTTCAACATCTTCACTAACTGTGTCTGATGATTGGTTTGATATTTCTCGATTTTGCTTTATCCTTCTTTCAGTTTGAAATTTAAACTCCTGTGGTTGTGTTAGACTAATGCAATTTGTTTTTACTGGCTTAACCGAGGTACATGAAAATGCTTTTTTCATCATGTTCTCATTTGCTTTGATGTGGTTCTTGGTTTGCTTATGAAGTTTAGCAATGCATTCCATCTCAAGTTCTTCGGTTGTTTTCAGTTTGATCATTGTAGGCTTGTTGGTTTTCTGACGCCTTAACAAAAGATTATGTAAAATGTAACTCAATCCTATCTGTTATTATTCCCTAGCAATATGTGTGAGTCGATTTTTTTCTTCTTCTTACTTCAGTAATTGTGGTGTTACAGGTACAGTGAGTTCCTGGGGTTTCAACTCTGGAATATTTGATCTTGATCTTGAACGGCGGCTTCTCTCACTTCCTGCAGATGATCTTGTCTGCCTTTTCCTTTTAGCAGCATTGGCAAGTCCCGTTGAATTCAAAGAACGATTTCTTCTCTTCGAAGCCCTGCTCAAACTTTGATATTAAACATATCATTGTGTGAAATACTGTACTGTTATTGAAAACAATTGGTATAAATACCTTTCTGGTTTTCTTGGTTGGTCAGTAGAAGATGTTTCTGATGATGTGTCACTGTTCTTGGTATCATCTAATTGACTTTCCTTTACAGTCACAGTTTCACTTTGTTTCTTCTCATTATCCATTGTTTCTTTCCCTTTCTCAACATCATTACTTTCTTCTGTCACATTATCAATTGCTTTCAATTGAGAATCATGATGTTGAACTTTGTCGTCCTCATCATTCACTTCCTTCTGGTTCTGCACATTTTCAGTTTGGACTATTGGACATGAGACATCATCAGAATTCTTACTGTTTCTCATGCTTTTCATCTCTTGGCATTCTAGGACAATTTTTGGTTCACATTTGTCTTCCTCGTTCCTTGATAAACTTGCAGGCTTTTTCTCAGTAATATCATGGTGATTTTCAACAATTTCAATTGCGTTTTGAACATTCTCTCTTTTTATTTCAGGTTTTGTTGCTACTTCGTTGTCGTTGTCATGAATTGATTCTTCTGTTCCCATTTTTTTAAGCAACGTGTCTTTATTTGAAGTGCTGTTTCTCTCTGGTTTTGGGGTTGCCTTTAGAGGAGCTTCGTTAATTTCTTCTGGAATAACAATACCTTCATCATCTCCTCGTCTATTGTCTGAAGAGAGCAATGGTTCAGTTAAAAAGAAAATCAAGTTGCACTAACATGTATATATATATTGTTAAATATGGACTGACCGAACCAAGAATCAACATCTGTGTCATCTTCATCTTGTAATTTCGCGAAATCTACAAATTTGCACGCTTCGTACTCAAACGTCGGATCGATAATAGATTTTTCCATTTTTCAGTCAGTCGAAAATTTAATGGATGAGTTTCAGATTGTGGTGTGGAAAAAAAATTCAAAATAGTATAATGTAAATATACGTTGCCGTTGTATCTCAATTCAAAGTTTCAAATATTGTGCATAAGATTTCACCAATTATAAGCCGTTTGTGGTCTTATTGACCAATAAAATGCGATAGAATCTCTTGTTTTGATTGGTCAAACGTGTTTTGACTTTTTGAAGAACAATCAATTTTAATTAGCTCTATCTCAAAATGGCGGTGTTCTTTAATTTTATTTTCTTGTACAAGACAATAGATGGCAAAACCAACAAATGGTTATTTTGAGGATGAACACTTAATTACATATTGCTGCCCTGAAATGTTTTATGCAAAATGACGGAGTGAATGCTAGCCTGTGAGTTATGTTTTCTTACAATTATTTCTCAAACTAACAACTCCAAGTTCTTTTTAATTTTTTGAGCATTTGCTTGCAATACGGTATCTTTTACTTTATATCTGACAGTTACTTTCTTTTTTATTAGGAGTTAAAGTTTCAAAACGTGTTATTGAAATGGAACCAGATAGTACTTTCGAAGTAAGAAACAAGTTAATGGGAATCATAAAAGCTATTCGTCCCATCGATGTTGCTGTTGTTATCAGCTCGCTTGTCGCTATGTACTTGTTTCGACTGCAAGACGGTTTTCAACTCATGCCTATATGGCAGCTAAAAGAACCTGAATCTGCCGAGCAATCTATCAAGTACTATTAGATATCACTCATTTTCAGTGTCAGTTTTATTTTCATCAGTTTTTAAAGCTTTGTGAATGTTTTATTTTATCTCTTTAGGGTTCCACCATTGATAGTTGATTTTGATGGAAACGGTCTTAAAGGTAACTCTATATTCCGAAAGGCTCTCTGTTACATTTTATTGTACTTGTTTTTATTATTTTTTTCTCACAGAAATCATCATTGTATCTGCTAGAGGAGTAAAAATGTTTTCATTTCATTCGGAAGACTTTGGTGATGAACATGATGCTTCCGAAATGAAAGAAAACAAAAATTACTCCAGTCCTGTGCTCTTTCATCTTCACCAAAAGGTTTTTCTTTTTGGTTTATATGAAGTAAATGTCGAATGAGCAATAAAATCAATATCTTTTACATAGGCTATGTTTCATTTTAATAAAATGAACAAGACTGAAGTGTTACATCCTATTGCAATGAACTCTGGCTGTCTGTCTCATAGAAATAGCATTTGCCCTCAGGTACATAAATGAGCAACTGGTAATTTATACATTTGGTGAAATTTGAAACAGAATACCAAACTGAGTAGCAAAAAAATGGAAATTTGTATGTGAATTTTTGATATTGAAATTTAGAGGAAATTGGTGTTGAGGTTTTTCTTGAGACTCTTTAAGAAAGTTGTTGTCTCACTTATCAACATTGCAAATTTGTGACAGGTTTTGGCTATTGTATGGAATGACTGGTCTGTTACATTATTATCTCATGATTTGAAAATATTATGGAAATCCAGACCAATGACATTAAGCCTTCATTCAAACTTACAATTTACGTAAGTGTTGATTATTCAGTATTTTGATCGAAATAAGATGATGTGACTCCAGTCAATCATTGTTGCACTTCTTTGGAGTATTTTTGAAATGATTTTGATAGTTTTGATTTATTTTAATTAGAGAGATGGCTGTAAAAATTTGTTCCGGTGATGAAACCCCATTTGATGATGGGCTTGTAATAATAAGTGGCGTCCTTCATCTTTCTGGTCATTCATCCAGTGATGTGAAAATGTAAGTTGATTTATATCAAATGATGCAATAAATGTTTTGTCTTGGTTTTCTTTGACTATTATGACTACACTCTGCAATATTTTTTTTTACTTGCTCTATACTATTGTTATGTGTGAAGAAATTAAAATGAGAATGGTATGTGTCTGACTGTATTCATTTTTCCTTAGTTTGACATTTTTGATGTATTAGAAAATTTGTGTTCTGTTGTGTATACTAGATGATGTTGTCTCGTTTAAATAAACATGAAACATATTGTTCCAAAACATTCTACACTTTCAAAACATAAGATTTGGAAGTGGGGTTCAATTTCAGCCATACATATGGCTTTGCTTATTAATGTTTATCATTGTAAGAACTTTGAAGTCTTGACCTAATTATTTATTCAACGGTAACCGAGACAAGGAAAACAGATAATCCTTTTTTGCCATAAAGCCCAGCCCTGTCATGGATGGTTTGAAACAGTCAATGAAAGAGTTATATTGTGAAGGATATCAAGCATTTAAATTTGTAATAAAAATCCCAATTTGGGTCCATGCTTCCTGATCTCCTGCGACAGGAGAAAAGTATGGTTGATTCAAATTCAAATGATCTTTTTTTGAAACTTTGTACTATTCTTTGATTTATTGTTAAGAAAAGCTTCATGAGAAATGCTTAATAATTGTATTATTTACATTCAAGAAATCATCATCACCCTCAAAGTACACAGGTTACATCAAACAAAACTCCTGAGGAAATCAGTAATGAACAAGCTGGTGTTGAACCCGAGAACATTAATAATGATGGACTTCATCATGATATCAATCCTGTAAGTTCATGCAGCATGTCTGTAATCTGTTTGATGATGGATTTTCTTGCTGAACACATTGTAAATGTTTACAATGAAAGATTTCATGGCTGACATGCAGTGTTGCCAGACGAAATTTTAAAATATTCATGCTCGCTTGCGTCAAAAGTTCACAAAAATGGCAAAAAGTTCATATTACAACTAATTTTTAAGATCGGAAGTTAGCGGATTAACTCGGACATTTTCGGAAAACATCGGAAATTTTCGAAAACTTTTGGAAGTATTCGCAAAACATCGGATTATCTCAAAATCGTCGTTGTTTTGAAAGAACTGTCGAGCTATGAAGATTTTTGTTTCATTGAACTATGATTTATCTATGCATTCTTTATGAAAATGATGAAAATACAAAAATGCGTAATATTTAGAAAAGTTCACAAAAAGTTCACAAACTTTTAATGTTCATGAAATGTTCATGAAGAGAAAAAAAAGTTCACCACTCTGTGAACTTTTTTCACGACCTGGCAACACTGCTGACATGACATGTTAAAACATTGTTTGGACTGGGATTGAGTTGCACAATTAATTGCTGTAATATGAAGAACATCAGTCCTTGAGTTTGTAAGTGTTTAAAAAATTGCCTCTTAATGAGAAACAATAACAAAGAAACGCCGAATGGACGAACAGAAGCATTCAATTTCACACAACTGTATCAATGGGCAGCATAATGATTTTGCTTCATTTCCTAAACTTTAGGTTAGGATAAAAAGTTTTGCCAACGGCATCCACTCGTTTGTGAGTTCATTTCCTAAACTTTAGATTATGAAAAAAAGTTTTGCCAACGGCATCCACTCGTTTGTGAGTTCATTTCCTAAACTTTAGATTATGAAAAAAAGTTTTGCCAACGGCATCCACTCGTTTGTGAGTTCATTTCCTAAACTTTAGATTATGAAAAAGTTTTGCCAACGGCATCCACTCGTTTTGAGTTCATTTCCTAAACTTTAGATTATGATAAAAGTTTGCCAACGGCATCCACTCGTTTGTGATATTGCAATGCATTTTAGTTGAGAATCTTTATCCATAAACCCATATCTTTCATTTCAACTGTTCAAAGCGTTTCTTGCGTGGAAGTAAATGTAACATGTTCACTAACATCCCTAGAATTTGACAAAATACATTGGTCATTTTACTACTTATGCATTAAATGGAAATTCTGGAAAAGTGGTGTGGAAACACGAACCTGGAGACTTGGAAACAAGTAAAGAATCTCATCAGGTGGGTGTAATAAAGTAGCTTTTTCTGTTAAAATATCACCCAACCACTCTTCATCATGGAAAATGGTTATAAGCACTTGATCTCATAAACTCATAGTTAAATAGACCTTAGTTCAGTGACGTAGCCAGCAAGTTTTAGTCTTGCTGCGTAAATTTCTAAACATTATCTTTGTTCATTTCTTCAGAAATCTGTTGTTTTCATAACAAGTGAACACAGATAAATTAAAACACGAGGAGTAAATAAGCGGGCTGACTACTCCCATGGCTACGCCAGTGTTTTAGTGTAATGGTTTATGGTTATTGTGCTATTTTGTGTTTCCATTATAGGATCACCGAACTTCACATTTCAAACTTCAACTGCGAAAGAAAGCTGCTCATCGTGGCGAAGTTTACTGGACAAAATACAGCGATTCGTTTCTCGACCATCTTCCTTTCTTTTGGACCCATCCCTCTGAAACTAGTATAACTTTGGCAGAGTTTACAACAGCCAAACCAAAGAAAAGGAAAAGGACAAAAACAGAAGTGTTTATGAACTTTGTTGGAAATGGTGGAACTATTGAAAATAAGACCGCGTCTAGTGAATTGAATTCGGTTGTTATTAAGCACAGCAGAGGAATTGATGTCCTGAATTTGGAAAATGGTGAACCGTTATCTTCGTTGCAATTTGACTCTCAACGTTTGCCGATGTTAATGGCGATGAAACTATTGACTTGATCAAGTTTTATTTACAAGACGAGAATGACAAACATGATTGTTTTTTGGTCGTATCAGATGCGAATACAAAGTCTTCAATTTTGCTTAACTCCTCCGTTTGTTATCCGTCGAGTTTCATCGATTTTTTTGGTATGTTTTATGTGTACAGTTATGTATCTTTTTGTGTACAGTTATGTATCTTTATGTGTACAGTTATGCGTCTTTTTGTGTACAGTTATGCTTCTTTTTGTGTACAGTTATCGTGATGGAAAGTACGATGAAGCTGCTGAAGAGATCAGTGAATTGATTCATCTCTATGACAGACATGAACCTAAAAGTCATTCACTGTATTTTGAAGCGTGAAGACTTTTTAGCCGTGTGGTAAGTCTGGCAAAAATCATTTATCAGTTTTCTGCTATCGACTTGGAAGTGACTGACATTCGTTTTCATGAAATACTTTACCTACTAACTATAGAACTATATATACCCAAATAGTCTAGCATATACTAACACATTTTTTATTATATTTAAAAAATGATCGCTTTTCTTGTAGTGTGGAAGGAATACATTAGTTCTTCAACAAACATTTGAATTAATTGTTCGTTCCCAGTCTCTCAGTGAGACGAATGCCGAGTACACTGTTGAAGTACGTAGCTACCTTTGAATTTGTTTTTGAAATTTACTTAAATTGTACTTGACGTACTATAAAAATTCAATCTCTTTCTCAAATCTTTTCTTCTGAGAACACCTCGTAACTACTTTTAAGGAAAAAAAATTGAATATTTTTTGAAACTATTATGATTTTATTGATGTGTGATACTCATTTGTGAATTTTAACACAGAAAATTTTTATTTCAAATCTTGGTAATCAGTTAGTTATGCAGATGAAAATTCGTGATGCAATGAAGGCGTATATGAAACTAGATGAAACAAGTGTTCCTGCATTGACCGGTAAACTGAATTACAACGTTGTTCGTCCATCGCAAGCGATGATGACCATGACAAGTTAACTCAAGTACTAGAAGACTGGGTACGGTGAGTTCTGAGGTGGCTCATAAGCCCAATCTTGGCACGGAATGTTCTCGAACACGAAGGGCAAACCAGAGAGGCATCTGATGTTGAAGCACTGGCTGCTCTTGATTTCCGCAGCTCACGTTTCTGTTTGGCTTCAACATTAAGAAAAGAGGAAAGTACCTCGCACTACAATATACGCAGAAGACTATAGTCTTTGAATTTTTAGACTTTTTAACGCAAAAGACTATAGTCTTTGCATTTTTACACTTTTTTATAAAAAAGACTATAGTCTTTGCATATTTACACTTTTTTATGCAAAAGACTATAGTCTTTATTTTACTCTTTTAAGCAATAAGATCTTATCTTGCATTTTTTATTCTTTTACGCAAAAGACTATAGTCTTTGCATTTTTTCTTTTACGCAAAGACTATATCCTGACTTTTTACAAAAAAGATGAGGTCTTAGATTTTTACACTTTTTTTTATGAAAGACTATAGTCTTTGTGATTTTACATTTTTACAAAAGACTATAGTCTTTGAATTTTTACACTTTTTGTTGAAAGACTATAGTCTTTGATTTTTATCTTTTTAGAAAAGACCAGGATCTTGTGATTTTTACACCCTTTATGAAAAAGACTATAGTTTTTAATTTTTATTATCTTAAGATTTAAAAGACTATAGTCTTTGATTTTTATACTTTTTTAGGGCAAAGACTATAGTCTTCGGAATTTTATACTTTTATCGCAAAGACACTAGATTTTTTCTCTTTTTTATGAAAGATCCAAATACTCTTTTTTAAAGTAAGTACTAATAGTGTATCCTATCCTTTTAAAGTAAGTATAATGTTCTTTGATTTTATACTTTTTACGCTAAAGACTATAGTCTTGTGTTTTTTTATCTCTTTTATGAAAAACTAGTCTTTTGCATTTTTTGACCTTTTTATGAAAAAGACTATATCTCAGATGATTCTTTACTGCCAAAGACTATATCTCTTATTTTTTGACTTTTATGAAAATCCAGTCTTTGATTTTTACTCTTTATGAAAAGACTATAGTCTCTTTGTATTTTAACACTTTTTATGAAAAGATCCAGGTCTCTTTAGATTTTACACTTTTTATGAAAAGACTATATCTTTGATTTTATTTTTTATAAAAAGACTTAGGTCTTGATTTTATTACTCTTTTTTATGAAAAAGACTTAGTTTTGATTTTTGCATTTTTAAAAGACTATAGTCTTTGATTTATGACTTTTTTAAAGACTATAGTCTCTTGAATTTTATACTTTTTAGAAAAAGACTATAGTCTTTGATTTTTTATACTTTTATGAAAGCTGATAAAAATGATCTTTGAAGTTAAGTAACACCAAGAAATGACACCCTTTTTTAGTGGTCTTAGATTTTATACTTTTATAATTAAAGACTTAGTCTTTTTTTATTAATTTTTATGAAAACTGTCTTAGGATTTGCTTTTTTATGAAAGACCAGGTCTTAGATTTTATGACTTTTTAAAAGATCTTAGTCTTTGATTTCATTATGAAAGACTAGGTCTTTATTTTATGACTTTTTATGAAAAAAAGACTAGTCTTAAAGTTGATCTTTTATGAAAGACTATAGTCTTTAAGATTTTATTCCCTTTTATGAAAAAGACCATGGTCTTGATTTTATTATTTTTTATGAAAAGACTCAGTCTTTGTGATTTTACTTTATGAAAAGACTATAGTCTTTAGATTTATTACTTTTTTATGAAAAGACTATAATCTTTAGATTTCTTTATACCTTTATGTAAAGACTATATTCCTAGATTTTTAACTTTTATGAAAGACTATAGTCTTTAGATGACTTTTCAAAAAGACTATAGTCTTTTCATTTTACACTTTTTATGAAAAAGACTATAGTTCTGATTTTTACCTTTTTATGAAAAAAGACTATAGTCTTGATTTTATTTTTACGCAAAAGACTATAGTCTTTAGATTTTATTCTTATTTAAAGACTATAGTCTTTGATTTTTTTACTTTTGAAAAAAGACTATAGTTTTAGATTTTAGACTTTTTATGAAAAGATCCATAGTCTTTGTTATTATTCTTTATGAAAAAGACTATAGTCTCTTAGATTTTAACCTTTTACGCAAAAGACTATAGTCTCTTGTGATTTTGACTTTTATGAAAGATCTATAGTCTTTGTGATTTTACACTTTTTATGAAAAAGACTCATAGTCTTAGATTTTATGACTTTTATGAAAAGACTATCTCTTTTGATTTTACACTTTTACGCAAAGACTAGTCTTAGATTTTATACTTTTATGAAAGACTTATCTTTAGATTTTTATCTTTACTTAAAAGACTAGGTCTGAGTTTTACATTTTAAAAAAGACTATAGTCTTTGATTTCTTCATCTTTTTATTAAAGACTATAGTCTTTAGATTTTTAACTTTTATGAAAGATCGGTCTCATTTTACTTTTTTTATGAAAAAGACTATAGTCTTTGATTTTACACTTTTTATAAAAGAGATTCTGCCTTTGATTTTTTGACTTTTTAAAAAAAAGACTATAGTCTTTGGATTTTTTATTTTTACTTAAAGATAAATTCTTAGGATTTTACACTTTTTATGAAAAGACTTGTTCTTTGTTTTACTTTTATTAAAGAAATAGTCTTTGCATTTTACACTTTTTTATGAAAAAGACTATAGTCTTTGCATTTTTACACTTTTTTATGAAAAAGACTATAGTCTTTGCATTTTTACACTTTTTTACGCAAAAGACTATAGTCTTTGCATTTTTACACACTTCTTCACACTTTGAATTTTTACACTTTTTTACGCAAAAGACTATAGTTTTGCATTTTTACACTTTTTAACGCAAAAGACTATAGTCTTTGCATTTTTACACTTTTTTATGCAAAAGACTATAGCGTTTTAGCAATGGTCATCGAATATCGTGTTTTTACCGATTATAACCCTAAATATCTTTTTAAATATTTCGCGGACGACTTTGAAACTTGGTACGTCTTATTTTCACGCTATAGGCATTACAATAAAATAAAGTTGTCTTCTAGCTTGCATGTGTCCTTTAAGCAAAATAGTGTATCCTTATCTTGTTGATGTTGTAGTGCGAGGTACTTCTCTCTCTTCTTACTGTTGTAGTGCGAGGTACTTTCCTCTTTTCCTAATGTTGTAGTGTGAGGTACTTTCCTCTTTTCTTAATGTTGTTGTGCGAGGTACTTTTCTCTTTTCTTAATGTTGTAGTGCAAGGTACTCTTTTCTTAATGTTGTAGTGTGAGGTACCTTCCTCTTTTCTTAATGTTGTAGTGTGAGGTACTTTTCTCTTTTCCTAATGTTGTAGTGCGAGGTACTTTCCTCTTTTCCTAATTTTGTAGTGCGAGGTACTTTCCTCTTTTCTTAATGTTGTAGTGTGAGGTACACTCTTTTCTTAATGTTGTAGTGCGAGGTACCTTCCTCTTTTCGTAATGTTGTAGTGCGAGGTACTTTCCTCTTTTCGTAATGTTGTAGTGCGAGGTACTTTCCTCTTTTCCTAATTTTGTGGTGCGAGGTACTTTCCTCTTTTTCTAATGTTGAAGTGCGAGGTACTTTCCTCTTTTCTTAATGTTGTAGTAAGAAGTGCCTTCCTCTTTTCTAAATGTTGTAGTGCGAATTAGCATGCAAAGACGGGGGAACATTGATAATTGGGGATGGGGCTGTATTCAAATATTCATATGAAATAATCCGTAACACAATTGATTTCGATAGAAAGCAATAATTACAACATGCATATTTAAATACTACCCCCCTCCCAATTATCGATGTTCCACCGCCCTTGCGATTTAGTTACTCTTCTCTTTTTCTAATGTTCATTTGCTAATTCTTATGTCAATATTGCAAAATGCTATCGGCAAGAAATCTATATTTCACTAATTATCTCATAAGTTTAAAAATACTTTTGACCACCACACATTGTTTGCAGTTTATTTCAGGAAGTTTCAGGCAGAAGTGAGTGCACCGACTCGTAAAAAATAGCGCCCTAACAATTTTATTTCCATTATTTGCTCAGAGTCAGATGATGTCGTCAAATTACACACATATGTACCAATGGAATTTTTATTGCTGTTTTTTAAGAAGATTTGCAATACTTTTTTTGCTATAGCTTGTGTAATAAAAGCTTTATCTTGCAAATATGATTTTCCATTTACATCATATCCATTGTGGAGTCCCTAACAGACCAAATAAAGATAAAATTTTCGTCATATGAAATACATGGCGTGAAAATGTTCTTAAACTATCTAAAGGAGTTGTGATAAAGGAGTGAACTCAGGATAAAATCGCCAATTTGTCAAGATGTCCCCTTTTTCGCCAAAAGACTAAATCATTTTCGTTCGTATTTATATCAAGTATTCATAAATATATCATTTTGCGACTTTAATTTTGGCCAATCAAAGCGCTCTTCGCCAAGAACCGTTTCTTTCAAAATTTTAATTTTGTGGTGCCATCAGTTCGATCAACGTGAAAACGAAATTCCTGAAATAATTATACAACCTGTCGCGGAAAAATAAAGAATCGATAAAGATGGTTAGCAAAGGTTTCAAATATGTGTCCCAGTAGAAAGCGTAAACTGTCTAATACTACGAATGAAATTGGTAAAAGCAGTAATGTCAAAGTTGTTGTGCGAGTGCGACCATTGAACTCGATGGAGTTAGTTGGGAATCATACAAATGTTGTTCGTCCCATGGACGATCGTGTTGTGGTTTTCGATCCTCACGAAGACTACGATGCGAGCAGTTTTATACCAAATGCGAGAACACGTCGGCGAAGTAATATACTTGAAAAGAGGGTGAAAGACTTGCGGTTTATATTTGATCGTGTCTTCGATGAGAGATCGAACAATGAAGAAATATTCAATCATACGACAAAGACGATAATCGACGGAGTTCTTAATGGATACAATTGTACTGTGTTTGCATATGGTGCTACGGGAGCTGGCAAAACTCACACAATGCTTGGTAATGATAAAACTCCTGGAGTCATGTTTTTAACTATGATGGATTTGTACAAAAGAATTGATGAAATGAAAATTGAGAAAACATGTGAAGTAGCTGTGTCCTACCTTGAGGTAAAATTTGGTAAATAAGATTTACTAATCAATTTAATGACAGCTTTGACTATTTGTAAACAACCATTTGTTGCTTGTGGTCAACTTACGGTGAGCTATAAATACAACGCCTTTAGACAACATTTCTCTTGTTATAAAAGATAAATTGATCTTGCTCGTAACCTACTTTTAACAGCACACATGATAACTCATAAACTGGAATAAAAACTGCTTCGTGTGTTGCATACAGTCATCTTTTTTTAATAGTAAATAGTTATTATTGTAATTATATTCAGAAAAACAAAATACACAGTAAAATATTTCAGATAAGTTTTGTACAAACCCTGATGTTATTAAGAAAAGCACACCAGGCCTTAAGACTGTTTTTGCTTTTAGGTACCCTAATAATCACACCAAATAGTCACTATATAATTACGGATGAGCACCAGCTACATACTTAACTCAATAACAATATACCAAGGGTTCTTTAGCCTATCTACAATCAAAATCATTGCTGCTTTTATTAAAGGTTTTGCTATACAATTGAGATAAGGGGTACTACTAACTCATGTATAGTTGCCTCTCGTAAATTTAAAAATGTACAAAATCTAGCTATATGCAGAATATGAATGATAAACGAACAATGGTAATACATTAGCTGGGCATTAGTCTCCATAAATGGATGCCACTACTATATATGCCGATACATATGAAATAATGAAAGTATTGTGAACATCATCAATGCTCAGAAAAAATATTCGAATTTTTTGAGATGCAAATGCATGTGATACGACATTAAGATTTCATTGCCTCATCGCCTGTGATTCTTATCAAGTCTTTTAGTAGCTATTTTGAACATAATAAACTCTTCTCTTGAGAAGTAATCTGATTTTACAGAGGCCAAAGTTTCATTCAGTGTATCTTAAAAAGTTGATTGTTCTACTATACCAAGAAGTTCCCTGACACCATGTGGGAATTTGCTAATTAAATGTATTTGACATAAAAATGATAATAGGAATGACTGAAGACCCTGGTAGAAATCTTAACTAAGATCTTAAAAGGCTCTTAGGGGGTGTTTACATGAATCCGGAATGAGTTTCGATCCGGAATGAACTCATTCCACTTTAAATGAAATCCTATTGCATGTTAACATGAATCCGGAATGAGTCACAACTCGATCCGGATCGAGTTCATTCCTAGTTTCATTCCGGATCGAAATTTACTTGTTATCTCATGTAAACGCGAATTGAGTTTCATTCTGGAATGATATTGTGATTAATGACGAAGCACGCATGTGGCATGGGTATTGTCTTCCGGCAAATTGAAGCTCGTAAGCAAATAAAGAGGCTAAATGGGTTAAAATGAGTGCGAAGAAAAACAACAATTAGTTTCATGTAAACACGGATTGACATCACGTTTCGATCGGGATTGAAAGTCATTCCGGATTCATGTAAACACCCCCTTAGTAAGATCTTACGTAAGATCCTATACAGGATCCTATTAGGATCTTTCATATAATCTTGCCATTGTATCCTACAAGATCCTATAACATCATCTAAGTTGCTTATTTCAGGAATGTTACAATTACATGTCTTACATTTCTCATACTTTTTAAATTAAAACAATATAAAATTGAACAATATAAGAAATATTTTCCAGTGCTTTAAATTGAAGGGAAATGGTGCATGGAAACTGTGGGATTATATTAATTTGCTTTCGCAGTTCTTAAGTACTACTTTTAAATACTTCTGTGAGTTTGGTTCTGCTATGTTAATTTTAGATCATCAGCATTATTTGCTTATTAATATTTGTCGATAGAGTTTGAATTGAATAACCTAGTTATTATTCGTGTGAATGTTTGCTTTATATTCATTTTTATCTTGCCTGTTTGCAGGTCTACAATGAAACAATCAGAGATTTGTTAATGGCTGGTAAAGATCTTGCAATAAGAGAAGATCCACAAAAAGGGGTTTGCGTGAATAATCTCACACTCCATCAGGTAGTTTGTATAAAAATTGTTTTAAAAAGAGCAAATATTACAGTGAATGGTCAAAATACGTAATAACGCGATAGTTCTTAAAAGAACTGTTTAAAACTAGAACTATTACGTTATTAATTTGACCATCCACCGTGGTATTTGCTCTTTTTAAAACGACTTTTAAATATATAACCACAAAAAAGTCTATTTCAGTTTATATAGCATGATTTATACGTACATAAATTATACATACATTACAATAATTTATACATACATTATGAAACATTTCAAATATCCTCACTCTCTTTTATTTGCACAATTCAAGCTATTTAATGGCAACTGGCCCATCCAACTTACGATATATTTGTTTTTCATGCAATTAACTTCATGATTTTGTCTTTAACTGTCATGTAATCGTCCATACGTGATTTTTTGACTTCACAAGAAACTTTTCGAGGGATGAAATGATTATTGCGAATGCATAAACATAGCTACAAAGAAATTAATTTATTTCATTCGTCAAATGCAATTATTATGAACGGCATAAATTTACAGAAAAGTACTGTGTGAAGTAGCAAATAGCGATTAAGTGCTGTGTACTTCATGATTGACATGATTTCCCCGTTTGGTGATGTCATTCTTATTCTTTCTTGTCTACGTACGTAAATAATTATTAAAATCAGAAGCGGCACTTCATGAGAAATCAGCTCAAATTACGTACGTCCACCAAGTCTCGTGTTTTAATTTAGCAATACAGTTACAGCTACAGCAATTGTAGCAGCATGATTTTAAGTTTAAAGCGCATTTTAAAGCATGCTGTGGACAAGAGCCCGCGATCTTTGTGGCTTAAATTCGCTCAATGCTCGCTCAAATGAATTGCCTGCTGCTAGAAATCAAAATGCTCGCGTATTTGTTAACATACGGTACGCGTATAAAACGCATATGATACGAAAAGCATACGTGAATGAAAACGAGAATGATACGTGTATGGGAAGGGAATGATAGGCGTTTATTTTTTCGCGACGAAACGTGCTTTCTATTAAAATACGATTCGATTCATACGAATAGAATATACGTTTATTAACGTGAATTAGCATCGAGCAATTGTCCTGTAAGCAGACAGACTATATCAGCCGTTGTCAGAGATTCAAAAAACCATACGCGTATAAAATAGAGCGATACGCGTATGGTACGAGAACGATACGCGTATCATACACAAAATTATGTTAACAAATACGCGAGCGGTACCTTATGTCATGAATTTATGATATATACGTTTCTTTAATTTGTGACTTATGTTGTCGAAACTATTGAACGTCTTCTTAGTCTTTCCTTTATTGACAATAAACCTGTGTAGAATTTTTTTTTATAACAACTTTTACATTTCGTCGCACCTAACCTCACAAATTTTCACTATAGCCAAGAAGCGCCGAAGAATTATTTGGTATGTTGGAGTTTGGAAACAGAAATCGAAGTCAACATCCGACGGACGCCAACGCCACCTCCTCTAGGTCTCACGCGGTTTTTCAAGTGTTTGTGAGGCAGAAAAGGACTGGGTCTGGTTTGAAAGCCGATTTTCAGGTTGCAAAGATGTCTCTTATTGATTTGGCTGGTTCAGAAAGGGCGACTGTTACCAAGAATAAAGGACCACGCATGCGCGAAGGAGCAAACATCAATAAGTCATTGTTGGCTCTTGGAAACTGCATCAATGCTTTAGCTGAGAACAAGGTTTTGTATAAAACGCTTTTGTAAAAATAAAGTAGACCAAATGCCTTTTTATATTGCAGTGACCAGGAACTCTTGTGTTAAAACTTTAGGCCAAGTGTCTAGCACCTTCCTATTCAGATTTACAGGATCTTAAATTACGTAGTACAAATCTTAAATTTGAATTAAGATTTTATCAAAGCACTTCGTACGCATAAGATTTTGAAATCTCACGTTAAGATTTTAACAGGATCTTATAGTTTTTCTTTTAAATTCAAAATATGGCACCTTCAATTTTTCCACGTTTTATGTGAGATATACTTTTTTAGAAAAACGCCCACATTCCTTATCGCGATAGTAAGTTGACAAGAATTTTGAAAGATTCACTTGGAGGCAATTGTAAAACTGTGATGATTGCCGCTGTCAGGTAAGTATTGCATGCAATTATTGTCAGCAGTCTTTGACTTTTACGTTCTAGTAGAATTTATTTTTTCTGTGCATACGTATACCGTATTTTGTCTAACATACGTACGCCGCAAAGTTTATTAACTTTTCAACGGGCTTGGTGCGGCGTGTATTGGAGGGAGGCGTCTATTATGGAATGAAATTCTTAAGTTCTCATGCAAGGCTTGACATGTAAAAACAAAGCAACTTCGAAACAGCTCGATCTTGTATGAAGAATTCAATTACTATATTGCCTTATTTTCCTGTAATTTTTCATATAAAATGCCGCATTAGCATGCTCGTTTGCAAAAAGGGAGGCGTTTATTGTCAGTTTTATGTAATAGACAAGGCCCTTATTAGAGGATGGCATGTAATTGAGGCTAGACGTGTATTAGAGGAAATACGGTATAGATATACAAGTGCATCTTTTGTTTGCACCTGCGCATATATATTGTTCTCGTGTTTTTTGTGTGTGTGTCAAAGGCCTAGTTTAGACGTTGAACTTTACATGAACCAAATGCATTTAAAACAAAAGATAATGAGGGAGTTCATCTCATTTTCTTTTGTCTTTAATGCATTTAGTTCATGTAAAGTTCGACGTCTAAACTAGGCCAAAAATTCATTTAATCATTCTTCTTGGCACCTGAGATTTAATTTGCATTATGCTCATAAATCTTACATGAAGTCTATTACTCTCAGAAAAAGAAATCAGAATAATGCGGAAGATGTTAGAAGCAATAAGATTATGTATGACAGTCAGTTCATTAGCGTTGGGCATAGTTTGATCGAAATAAATTATTCAATTATTTTTTCAATAAAAGATGTTTGTACTGTGTTTGCACAGGCTAATGCAAGGAGACTTTTGGAAGAACTCGAGCAGTTTAGTGCAAGCCCGAGATCGAAGGTCGACAGTTTTATGAACCTGCTCGCGAGCTCTCACAAACGTCTCCGAGTTATTCAAAAGCAAAAGCAAACATGAAAAACAACTTTTTTCTTTTATTAAATAAAAACAATGTAAAACAGATAAATTTAAAACAAATTTTTGAATTTTTTCTCTAATATGGATTCACAATTGATTTGCTAATTCTTTTGATTTGTTTAATTGGATGAAGTCAGATCGGTTTGCACAGGTCAATGCAAACTCAGCTATAGACCAATTAGTGCACGCGTTTCAGTTCTGTTATTAAAGAAATGTTTTGTGATGGTGTTGTGAAAGTGAGTTACGGTAAATGTAGCTACAAGGGTGGTTTTTTGCAATTTTCCTTTTTGCATTTTCTCCTTGGGAGGAATAGATATCACTTAAAGGCCAACAATTTTGTCTCAGCTTACAGGGAAAGCGTGAATCGTCGTTCCTTTTACACTAGTTAAATGAAGTAACGACCGATGATACTCGTCAAACAGCATCATTTCTACATTCCCGTTTTATGTAGTCCTTCATCGTTATCGTATGAAGACACTTACAACACCTTAAAGTATGCTGATAGAGCAAAGAACATCAAATCAAGTCTTGTGAAAAATATAGTCAGTGTTGACCTTCACTTGAGCCAGTATCCAAAACTCGTAAAAGAACTACAGGCAGAGGTATGCAAGCAAAAATCTTTATTTGTACCAAGCACTGATACCAAGTTATTTAGATTGCGTATAACAGCTTGCGTGTAAAGCTTATTGTTATATTTCAAACTTTACACTTTGTCTATAAATCGATTGTTTGTTCACGTGATACATGACGTGGTTACACTCGCACTCTCTTAAAAACCTGATTACCCCTCCCCTCCCCCTTTTTTTGCGATAAACAAAACTGATCTACTTCATTTATTCTGCTACTCGCCGGGTGTATTTATTGACTTTGATGATATTTGAACTTGTAGTTTATCGGGTGGAGGCTTCTCTTTTGCTATTGAGTTCATGAAAAATTAGTTACGGAAAACAGCACAACAAAAACATAAAAAGTCAGAGGCAGAAAAAAATTGATGCTCTTTGACTTTGAATACGAGAAAAAGAATGCAACATGTAATGGAATAGGGGCATTTTCAAGTAGAATGCCTGTATTGATGATGAAGACGTTTATCATCATTTCAATGTTTGTCAATGGGGCGCTTATTAGAGGGTGGTGCGTAAAGGGGAACACGGTTATAAGCTTTTAAAAATGCACGAAGATCAAATTTTCTAATTATAAATTATATTGACAATATGTTTAAAATCCTCTGAACTATCTACATAGCTAAACTAATGATACTATCAGCACACGATATTTTTAAACTTCCCTATATAGGATATTTCTTTAAAATCACTCAAAAGCGTTTAACTGTACTGATCAAACGATACTGTGCTTACCCATTGAAATTAAATTAATCTTTATGCCCTGCAAAATTAAAGATCTTTACAGTTTTAAAGATTCGATTCCCTTTGATCTTAATCCCGGGTGGTATATCAATTTACTTGTGCGGCTTGAATAGTCGCTATATTGGCGAAACAATTCGTCATATTTCTACCAGGATGAAAGAGCACATTTCCACTGATAATAACTCACACATCTTCAAACACCTTCTCTCCTCACATAACTGCAAATCACAATACACCAACAACTGCTTTATAATTATCCACACTGACAATTATTCTTCCACAATCAGAATTAAAGAAGCCTTACACATTAACAAACTTAAACCCGATCTCAATAAGCAAGTTCACCACGTTAATACCATTTTTAGTTTATATCTAATTTTATGTTAATATTTTTTTTCTTCCATTTAATGTATCGTCCAACTTCCATATGTTAATTAATTGTTAATATTTATAATACTATCCTCATCTCAATTACTATTTATATGTTTAAGTATCACATTCTTTAACACATTCATTTACACTGATGATGGCATAAGTTTGCCGAAACATGTCTGTAATAAAGAAGTCTGTTTTATATATTCAGTTTATTATTTCAATTGTGTTTTTCCGTAAATGTGGAAATATTATATACATAGCCCAATTACTAAAACATGATACAGGCACTTTATGTATTCTTTCGTAATTTCTTACAACAGCGTGTTTATAAAAGCATTTTCAATTTAGAATCAATTTGTATAATTTATTTTCACCACTTTAGACCACTAGTTGATACTGCAACTGTTACGTAGCATCTCAGATCACTGTTTCTATGTTTTATTAGCCATCTTGCAAATTGAATATTTTTAATCAAAGATTATTTTATCGCAGGTTTGTCAATTAAAGGAAAGACTAAATAAATTTGAAATGGGTGAAGCTACGCCAATGAAGAAAAGACGTTTGGACGAGAGTAGGAAAGACGAATTTGAAAAGTACGTATGTTGACGAACATTTTATCTCCCGTTATAAACAACAGCGATTATTAAAGTATTCAATGTTGCTTTTAAAATTATTTGTTTGAAGTGGGTCTTTTTATGTATTTACGCTAAATTATGTACTATCTACATAGAAGAACCCAATTTTATCGGTTTTGTTAGGTAAAAGAAATTAATATTCTGATCAAGTAAATGCATAATTTTTCATGCTATCCAACGTGGTTTTCGTGCGCATGGTCAATTAGCATGCTCACTTATCATTTACTTTTATTACTGTACGAAGCACTTTTTTGAATTTCTTTTGCAATGTTTTTTTTATTAATTTTTAAAGAAAAAATGGCTCGCATTTTTGTCTTAGTCTCTTTTGCTGCAGCATTTTCTATTTGTCAACATCGTTTATGTCTCATAAAATCGTCAAAGCATGCTCCGTGTTTTGTTTCAAATGCAATTGTTGATATTTAAAAAAACTTTTACATTTCACACAGCATTTGTTTTATAAATTGAGAGAGTCGGACCTCTTCTTACGGACATCTCTCGGAAGCGTACACTGCTTTCGTGTTCATGCCAACATTTTATTATTTATGACCTATCATTGGCGGACATCTCTCGTGGCGGCAAATGTGTCCGCTCTTCGGAGTTTCTATTGTATAAATATTGCTCTATAGTAAACAGGTTTTAAGATTCTTTTTTGTTTTTAGGTTGAAGAGTGAGATTAAATCTGTGTACAATCAGAAAGGTGACATTCGTAAAAATATTCTTGATACTGAATGTCTAGAGAAAGAAATGATGGAAAAACTACATCGAAAGGTTTGTTTCTAAAACTTGCGACAAGACAGTAAATTATTTTGTTGTACTTGCGTATTATAATAGTTTCCAAATGGCACAAAGAAATTGACGGCAGTGTAATCTCACTTGTAACAATATATTATAAGTTTGGCAAATTATAGTTCTTTGAAATCTCCTGTTTTTCGGCTTAGCCGTCTTGTCAGTTCTGAACTCCGGCTTCGGGAATCATTCAAATATCTGCTTTTGGCTGGTTAATTTTTCGAGTCACTTTTCAGGTTGTTTCTTTTAGATAATTAAGAATGTCATTTGGCTCATTCGGTAAACAAAACAAAAAAAACAGTCACGAAGCAAAGCAATGAAGAAAACAACATCGAAAAGTAAAATTTCTATATACACTCCTACTTTCGATCTTGTGTCAACGCTTTGTTGTGTCATGCATAAAATGTTTTATTTCATGCAGGTTTTTCAATTTAGCCGATAGTTATCGTTCGTTAATACGAAAAGGTTTCGTTCTGATACGTTTACCAAAGTCTGACAGTATTTTGCAGCACAAATAACTGCTGCGGGGGTTTTGCTGGATATGAACAAATTCTGGCTGCGGAAGGCAAAAAACGCCTGAGCTCTGGCTTAACTCCGGTGCACAGCATTAATAAATAAATCGATGATTTACTTACATGTTTCATTACAGGTCTCATTAGTAACTCTTGCGCGTGAAACAATCCAAGAAAGATTTGATTGGTTCTAGGACTTTCGTGTCTGTCACGCGTGAATTACGTAATCTTGCGACAACACAAAAACTCCTAATTTCAAGCTCGGGCTTACCTTCGGTATCCCAAGTAATTATGGAGAAAAAAACAATTGAAAATGTTTTTAATTTATATTATTTGACATCCTGTTCCATCTATGACCCGTTGTAAGACGCAAACATTGTAGCTACGACTTTCAATAAATAATACTGAATAGTTACGTAGCCTTATCTTTTCATCTTTTTGTTTGTCAAACTTTTATTTTGGTAATACTTTTGGTTATAACTCGTTTTAAAGATTTTAATTTTTATGAATATTTTGTGATTGTTTTTCTGAATGTTTTTTTATTGTCGTGGATTACGTCATGATAATTACGTATGTGTTGTTGTTTAGAAAAGAAACATGGAATGGATGAATATTCTTTCTTATGACGACTTGAAAATGAACAAGGTTTGAAATTATTGTACATATTCTATAGCTACGGTTACGTAATGTATTGAGAATCGCCGAGCTGCCTAGATGTCATTACAAATATATTCCCAAAAAAACATATATATTTGCAAAGTAAAGACAAATATGTTAGCAAAATTGCACTTCAAATCAGTATGTCACAGCCGTAAATGGTCATATCAATCTTTGGCAAAACATTTTACTTATTCTTAGTTCGTACTGTGCTTAAAGCCTATGTTTCATCTTGGGGATTTTCTGTGCGCAAAGTCAAGTTTCGAACATGGTTGGTGGTCAAGAAATTATGACACATTGTCTACCAATCAGGCGCGTTATCTGCTTTTACGCACTAAAAATTGCACCTGGTGGAAAATAGTCATGATGATACTTGTCTCACAAGGATTTTGGCTTTCGATAAACATGTCACATACAGCAATGCCTTGTACAACTTCAGACAAGTTGCGAGAAAACTTATACAGTGCTACAGTGCCCCTTGTTTCATGTATAATGTAAATTGTAACCTTATAAAGTAATGGGTTGCTATAAGACTTATTTTTAGTAGATCGTAACTCAGTTTAATAACTTAACTAGAATAATTTTTTCACGCAACTTTACATTTCTGACAGGTATTGTGTTGAAGTGACTGAAAAGCATCAAAAACATAATCAAACCGGCTAATTTTTCATAGGTCGAAACAAAAGTACGAAAGTGTTTATCAGTTACAAAATCGCGGATAAGACACTTGAAAGAACGACGAGAAAAGTTGAATGAGCAGGCTCGTGAGAACAGTGAATGGCTTCGTCGTACTCAGAATGATTTCAAAATTATTGAATCGCTTCAATCTTCTATGGATATGCTATCATTTTTAACTGTGTACGAGACATCGTGCCGCAATAAAATACAGGCAGATGAATTGATGCAAGAAGCAAAGTATTACAAGAAATGTATAAAAAATTACGAATTGCACAGGAAAATAGAAAAGCGGTACGGTAGCTGTCAGTTGCCTATCGATTTGATGAGTTTTAGTTAATGCGAGGTCAAGTATAGCATCTTTAAAAAAAATTTTCACAGGAAAATAGTTTATGTCATTGACGTACATTTCTAAATAAATGTGGAGGCAAATATTCAAATAAGAATTTTTATATTAATAAGGCATAGATTTATATGTTTTCTCTCCATAACTCAATGCATTGCCTTCATGGATTATCTTTAATTAAAAGCCCTATGTTAAACAATAACTTAGGTGATATGTTTTGTGCATGCTCCTGAAGAACTGTTAAGTCATGGCTGTGATGCCCTTCGTTTTCAAATAATCGTTAACTGTCATGACTGGTATAAACGCAAACAAAAAAGTCATTTCGCTTACGTTGATTTAACTAACATAAAGTATTCGGAATATATTTACCTATACTTCATTTTAATGTGTTAAGTTAACAATCAAGGTTTTCTCTTTGAAAGTATTATTTATTGATAATGTCAGTTGTTTTTACTTATAATTATTTAGTTTGATTGAGTCGTTGCTAAAATGCGTTCGTAAGCAGCACGTCGTTCTGATGTCCTCTGAAATGAACACTGAGGAAATGGATAAAGAATATGAAAATATTCTTAACATGGTTGAGGATAACAGAGAGGTGGCATGGGCCGATCAAATGACGACCTTAGATAACAGGGAAACATCTGACGGGATATCTTTTGCAATAGAAAACTTAAGTGAGTATACCGCTGACATTTAGGTACATTTAAATAACATATGAATTTATCTTCCTATGAAGTTTGTTTTTTTGTGCTAAAATAACAAAAAGTGGCAGCAAGTTAGATTTGTGTAGTTTGTCTCAATCGTAGTCTTTCTCTTATGTTACTAACTTTTCTACTTTAGTCGTATTTTTTCAATTTTGGAATTTTTTCCTAAAACTACTCTTTTGCTGTCTGGTGTGTTCTGTATTTATTGTCAAAGTTAATTAACCTATCAAAAATGACTCAATAAATATTTGATGTTGACTGTAAAGTTTTTTTACTGTTTTTAAAACTATCGCAATTCTTTTGCAAAAAAATTATTTAGACATAGTAGTTAGTAACTTAACAATACTTCCTTCATACTGTCTGCTGTATTTATCAAAACGTTGATATAAATAAGAATTCGCTTACTTAATTATTCCATTAATTTCAGGAACTCCCTGCCGTTCACCTCGATCGCAAAGAAGGGTTTGCAGTATTGATCTTACACCACGTAGAATGAACATTGAACGAACGCCATCGTTAACGCTTAGCTCTACTGTTCCACTACGCGTAGAAAGTGACGTCATTCCTCAAAGTGGATTACCAGGATCTTCATACACTGACAGAGACGAAAATATGTCGAAAACAAAGTCACCATGCTCAGTCCGTCTTAATCTCATTAATGAGTTAAATAGGCATGATTCGGGAGTTGAATGTGCATCAAAAGCAACTGTCGACTCTTCATCGGTAAGTCTTTATGTAGCAATGATCTATATATGTGGTTTGTACTGTATTAGTTATCATAAAATTTGTGTATATTTGATTTAAGGCCTCTACAACTTCAGAATTAAGTTCGTTATGCACTATCAGTTTTTGTGAAAATGAAATGGCTAATTTTAATTTTACTGTGCGTTCAAAGGTTGAAATACAATTCTGAAGAACTGTCGCCTTTCTTTTAACAGTTCGACAAAGTAAAGGAGCTGTGATTGCTCGTGTATCTATCTTTGTCTATCAATTACAGTAATACAGAATTATCACGAAAGTAGCCCTTCCCCCGAAAGTTGCTTCCCCCTGAAAGTGACCCCCCTCGAAAGTAACCACACCCTCGAAAGAAACCGCACCCTCGAAAGTAAACGCCCTCGTTATAAAATTTTTAAAAGCTTTACTTGATTTGCACATTTATCCAAACGTTGATGTACATTTGTGTTAACTACTGAAACCTTAAACAACTTCTAACGCATTGAAAAATACTGCTCTAACTACGTAAATCAAGAGTTAACCAGTGGAGTTAAACAATGCTTTAATAACAACTTGAAACTAACCATCCTCCCCCAGGGGGCGAGGTTCTTGAGGTCGCTTATTTCAATAGGAGCTCGGGTCGTTATTTTCGAGCCTCCACGGTAATCAAGGAATGGTTATTTTACCATCAGCTAAATTATGTAAGCTATGTATAAACACAGAAATATTGAAGATTCAGTACTGATCTTTAAAATAGTAAAATTATAATCGTGTTGAGGTGTCCTTAAACATTTGAACTCAGAAGCATATTTATATGTGACAGAACTCTATATACAGTAGAAAAAATTATGCTAAGCTGAAAATGCAAAATTATTTTTGATTTGTTAAACTAATTTTTTTGTGCGTCGAACTACATGATCAAAAACACACAGCTCACACACGCACCCGTTTTTTCTCTTTTAAATCCACCAGGAGAATAAGACGATTGAAATGAAACGATCGAAGTTAAAGACAAGAAATACAGTTAACAAGAGCGTAGGTCTTCCACTTCGAGAGAAAACCAACAACTCAAACCCAGGAAGTTATAAAAACATGCAGCCAGAGCAGAATTTTAATTCAAGTTCAGGTACAGTATTTGTTGGCTGTTTGTCATTGACTCATGGTACATATTTATTATTTGTCGAATTCTTTGCCTTACAATAATGCATTATTAATGGTATTTCCCATTTACATTTCATCGAAAAAACAATTTGATGACAATGATATGCATTAAAAGGGAACTCTATTATTATTTTCTTATCCAGCTATTTGATAACGTTCAGCTTCTTTTGTTATCGTTGATTTTTGATTCTCATCTTTCCTTGATACAATCGTTTAAGTTTATTTGGTTATTATCTGTAATGTTTTATCAGCAGAAAGATAAAAATAGCGTTTGCGTGATGATGATGCGTTTAGGTTATGATCGCATAAATTACCAAATAATTAACCATATTCTGGGGTTTATTTCGCCAGTGCATCACGTTGTTCTTTTTCTTCGAATGATGTTGATGCATATCAACGATTTTCACTTGGAGTTTATAAAACGTGTCAGGATCAGAGAAGTAACTTTTTTAGGTGTTAGATCGATTTTAAGAGCATTTGCAAGTTATTTGATAGGGCGAAATTGTTATCTTTTTGGGTGTTTGAGGCGTAGAAGTAAGGTGACTCCAAACCGGATGTGACGTAAAAAAGAAAACATGTTTATTGGAGATAAAGCTTTCATTATATTGAATAAAGCTGCTATCCCAAATATTCTTAAAAAATCTTCCTACAAATTCAAGATATCGCAGATGTGTAATTTGACGACAATCTTGAAAAAATAATCAAAGAAAACCTTTTTACGTCACATCCGGTGCAATTGTACATGTTTCTAGGCCCAAAAAGATGAAATTTTCGACATGTCAAATACATTGCAATGTCCTTAAAATCAATTTATCTATTTAAGGAAGTTATTTCAATGACCTTGATAAAGGCACTTTATCCTCTTTATTCCTTATTTTAAGTACGTCCATATTTCTGCAAAATTGTATCAAATAAAGCAGTTAGACAGCTTTTACCTTGATTTTGTGACCAAGCTAATGATTTTAATACAAAACTCTTCCATGAAACGCTATTGCAAGCTTTATTTAAAAGGTATTTTCTTTTCAACTACTTATATGGTTTACAAGTTTCTTCAAACTATTTCATAATTACTTGATGACCACAAAGGTTTATATTGGCTATTGAAGACTTAAAAATTATTCATGAAGAAAATATTAATTTGTCGTTCATATGTCCATTCTCGTGTTTCTATGATTTAACAGATATCGAAAATGCTCGTGGAGTACGTGGCAATACTTTGTTAAAGAACTCTAATTCCCAAAGAATAAAAGGAAAAGATATGTTGCCAAAAAGGTTTGTGCTTTTTTGTCATCGGAATTTAGTTTTTAGCCATTAAATTATGATGTCAATCAACGAATCAATCGGCTCCATGCAGCTAAAGAAGATTTTTACGTAACTGATTCGTGGTTTAGTGTTTTGAAATTTCAATGTTCAAATTCGACGAATCATACTTAAATTATTCACACATAATAGCTTCATATTAGCTTCTAAAATTACTACTGGTACCTTGTTTTAAAAACGTAGTGTTTAAAACAAAAACTTCTATTTTGAAATTCAATGAAAGCTTTGAAATCCTTGACGTCTTTATTCAAAACTTCATGAATAGTATGCATAACGTTGACAGCATGATTGCATGTAAAAAGACGCGCTCAGAATCGCTTTGTGTAATAATTTTGGTAAGTGGGGGGCTTGGCCTAAGGCTTTTACACATAATAAGAACTGTGCGTCGTGTCCATAGTTAGACTGATGTTAGTGTTTGTGGTATTTTCCATCACTTATTTCAAAATTTAGGGTTGTCACACATGAATCCTCAGCTAGCCAATCAAGACGTTTGTGTTCATCGCGATCTGAGTCATCCATTGGTCATGCACAAAAGATAGAAAATTGAAAATTAAAAGAGTTAAAAGTAAGAGTAATTAATCCGATTAATGCGATTGCTCTTACTTTTAATTGTTACAAGATAGAAAATTGCAGTATTGTTATGAGCAAACATGTATATAATACTTGGTTTGAAAGAATAAATATTTTAACAGTAAAAATTGTCTAACCCTAACCCTAACCCTAACCCTAACTTATTCTATAGAGGGCTCTGGTTGCTATGGGTGATAAACCAGTCTATATTATGCTAGCTTTCGATTTCCTGTATATAATAACATTAAACTAATTAAAGCAGGATATTTAATTGCGGAAATTATACTTTTAAAAATGTAAACCCGAGAGTCTAAGGCATTGAATCATTCTTTTCGGACAAACAGGGAGCACGTTTGGTGAATCTTTCATAGTTACAGAACAAATAAATTGATGTTTATCTGAATTTTCTACGACAGAAATAATTGAAATACAACAGGTGACAATGACGGTGTACATCAAAAATTATTTAGCAAGTTTGCTGCTGACTTTAAGCACTCTATACTTTCCAAAAGCCATCTCTTGTAATGGTGTGGCAAGATAAACTTTAACATTTCAAGGAGAATGGACAAGCGCAAGGCATCCACTGTAACATATCGTCATCTACAGTAATCTACTGCTATCCACTGTAACATACCGTCATCTACAGTAATCTGCTATGCACTGTAACATACCGTCATCTACAGTAATCTACTGCTATCCACTGTAACATACCGTCATCTACTGTAATCTACTGCTATCCACTGTAACATACCGTCATCTACAGTAATCTACTGCTATCCACTGTAACATACCGTCATCTACAGTAATCTACTGCTATCCACTGTAACATACCGTCATCTACAGTAATCTACTGCTATCCACTGTCACATACCGTCATCTACAGTAATCTACTGCTATCCACTGTAACATACCGTCATCTACAGTAATCTACTGCTATCCACTGTAACATACCGTCATCTACAGTAATCTACTGCTATCCACTGTAACATACCGTCATCTACAGTAATCTACTGCTATCCACTGTAACATACCGTCATCTACAGTAATCTACTGCTATCCACTGTAACATACCGTCATCTACAGTAATCTACTGCTATCCACTGTAACATACCGTCATCTACAGTAATCTACTGCTATCCACTGTAACATACCGTCATCTACAGTAATCTACTGCTATGCACTGTAACATACCGTCATCTACAGTAATCTCCTGCTATCCACGGTAACATACCGTCATCTACAGTAATCTACTGCTATCCACTCTAACATACCGTCATCTACTGTAATCTACTGCTATCCACTGTAACATATCGTCATCTACAGTAATCTACTGCTATCCACTGTCACATACCGTAATCTACTTTTTCGTACCGTTACCAAACGTCAACTACTGTAACATTAAGTCAACAAACGATTGTGCTATCATTGATCGTTTGTTCGGAGATTGTGCTACTACAGGTAATAATGACAAAGTCATTTCATGTTGATTGTGCCATGTTCACGTATGTAAAACATCGAATTATTCGTACAAGGATATAAAATGGTAATGTAAGGATTAGTGATTATAAAAACATATTTGTATTGGGTGTGAAACAAAAAGACAAGCCCCCGTCACTAACTATGCTTAGATTATGGACATGCATACATTAAATATCTTTGTCACAAGCATATAAACTGACACAAGCGTTTCTGCTCCTGGGAATTCACACCACATCAATTTGCAAAATGAAACATCGTAATTGAGGAAATCAACGATTTATGTGGTTACAACGAATGACTGACTCAGTCAAAACACATTAATTATAACGCATAAAAATTTTGGTTTACTTATGAAAAACGCGAAGTTTGTATATCATGTACATTATACAATTCACTCCGTCTTTTCTGTCCAGGAATTCAAGTTTTTTAAATATAAAAGACCATTATTGGTTCATTATCATTTTGTATCTCTCTACATCCATTGTTATAATCCACAATTTATACAAACATTGGTGATCAATCAATCTCCATAAGATATCCCGTATAATGAAACATTTACAGGGGCTTCATCTTGTTAACTCCATGTGACACCTCAATCCTTTCTTAAAATCTCTGCTCGTTTAGTTTCACTGCCTATTACAGATACAAGCTGGTAGCAAATACAATGTCCCTTTTGATCTTCGTTATCCCTGTAACGTAATGAATGTATTGTATGTTTAACTTGTCTTTTTTGACCTTATAGAAAATTTCTTTACCTTCAGCAAATTTATTTTCTAATTCAGTGTTTCCAATTGCTTTAGCAGCTTGACACATCTGTCTTAGGGCCTGTTTATATGGAGCCGAATTACCCGGCTGAGCGAGTTACTCGCTCAACCGGGTTTGACAAAGTGATCTGTTTATATGGCACCGGGTAACTCGGCTAGTACTTCCGTTCATTTGTCTTAAATGAAGTTTGGTAGTGCTAACTTGGAGTAAAGGCGCGAGATTTTAAAAAGTCTCACAGTTTCGCAGCAAAAATGGAATGGGTGAATATAAAATTGAAAATTATGATATGTTTATGTTTTTGTATAATAATGCTGCAAGTACAAGGCTTAGTACGCATGGGTACCAACAGAACCAATTTTCTTGCCTCGCTGAGTTACCCGGCAAATGCGTTTATATGGAAAAATTCATCCCGCCTAGCCAGGTAACTCGCTTACACAAACCGAGTTACCCAGCAAGGCGAGTTACTCGGATGTGTCATATAAACGATTCACCGGGAAATGCATACATTTTAAATAAGGGCCGATTTACCCGGCTAGGCGAGTAACTCGCTCAGCCGGGTAACTCGGCTCCATATAAACAGGCCCTAAGAAGTTCTTCCAATCGTCTCATACAACGAATTACACTTCCTATTAAGGTACAAACAGTTGATTACGTCATAAATATATATGTTATTCACGGGCTGGAAGGTCCGTGTGAAAAAAATATTTTCACGAGCCCCGAGGCCGTGGGACGTATTTGAGGCCGAGTAGAAGTATTTTTTAAGTATGGACCGACCTAAACGGTAAAATAAGATAATTATTTTAATTTTTTTTAACGAAGAAATTCGCGTTGTAAAATGAACAATATGCGGCTTGTTTATACTTGCATTAATTTTGTATAAAATTCACTTCGTCTGAATAGTAAAATTCACTGTCGCTATGGTAACTACTATCTGAATACACTTTGTTTTCTCTTTAAACAGTTTACATCGCTTTTAAATCAATTTTAAAAATTATATTTCACTTTGTAAACGAACACTTTGCCCAAAAATATCACTTTACTTCGCATGCATAAATGAAAATAAAAAATGATTATTTAATGTTGAATGTCATCGTAGTCATACCTTCAAAAACATCTGTCATTTTACAAATTTGTGAGAATGAAGCGCCTTTACTCCATGAGTAAACAACATCCATTATTTGTGGTTTAAATGACTCGACATAATCTTCAATTTCGACATCAAGTTTAGCATCTTGAGAAACTTTTACCATTCTTCTGGCAGTTTCCTGAAGTTGCCGTAATGGTCCAGATAATTGCTCACTCATTTTTGGCATCTCTGAACTTTAGATGACGTAAATAAATGAATAAATTATGGTGAGCAAAAGCAAAATCAAGCAGACGTTTAAATATATTTTAATAGTATTATTATTATTTATTAATATATTATAAAACAGTAATACCTTTTCTTGAAAAATAAAACAACTAAGTAAAGCAGTACATTGTTCAACAGTAAGATCATTAAACACCCCATTGAAAATCATTTCAGTCAAAACGAGTTCATCAGCACTATAGCATTAAAAAAGAAACGTTGTATAAAAATATACACGACAAATTAAACATACATAAAAATAATTCTTAAAAAATATAAAGAAACGCAACTTTGGAAGGCCATAACATTAAATTAAGAAGTCATAATAAATAAAATTATATGACCTGCTAATTTCGCACGCTACTCTTCCTTTAAGCTCAATAACGTCAGCTGATGTTGAATAACCCAATCTAAAATATTCGAAAATTAATTCATTTAGTAAAATAACACTTGGAGTAAAATAAATTTTACGTCAAGAGAAACTCACTTCGCTCTGATTTCAAAAACACAAAAATTTTCATACCTTCGTAAAACTCTTTTTCTGCACTTTAGTTCGTCCATTTGTAAAACTGTTCGACATTTTTTTATCTCCTTTTTGGCTTGCTTTATATCTTCATCAAACTGCAATAACACAATTTAAGTCAGTAAACACAAAGAAAAAGATTTTTTTCTATGCATTGTACAAATAAAATTGTGATAAATAAATAAACAATGAAGTATGTATGTGAGTGTTGACGTTAAAATGCTGCGTAACAATTACTTTGGATTTCTGTTCGCACAACTGATAAAGAGATTCACGATCTGTATCTTTTTGCATCGGATGAGTGTACAGTTTATGTTCTAGTGCTTCAATTTTCTGAAAACGAAAATCTACATACGTAGATAAAGTTTATGTTTCGCAACTTCAACTGTAAAAAACAGTTAATAGAAAAGCAAAAAAAAACATGAGGTCTTACCCTATTGATTTAAGACCTTCGTCTTTAATTCCCATGTCATCAATAGGATCCAATAAAGGTAGACCATCTTTAAAGCGATTTTTACTTCCTAAAAAAATAAAAACAGGACAATAGCTGTTAGACAGTCATGGTTATAACAATGTTAGATAGTTATAAGCTTTCATTAAACTCGATATAAAAGGAGAAAAGCTGTTTGAAACTAAGCATTATCTTCAAATCTCTAGGACATTTTTGTTCATAAAAAATAAAAAATTTTCTAAATGCTCGAAATTTCTCTATCTAGTAGATCATGTTGACAGAATTCAGTAAGATTTGGTACTGTTCAAAATAAGCAAACAATGGTAGACTTAGATCTATTATTCGTCATGTCCTCAACTGTTATTCATATGCTCAACTGTTCCTCGTGTCTTCATATACTTCTTAGATATAAACGGGAGATAATGTACGCCTATATAGATTAGTTGGAATTCATTGGTACCAATCTTGTGCAAGCTCTGCGATTGTTCTTACATAACTTCTGGCTTCCCAGTAAAGCGCAAAAGATCGATCGACTCATGGAGAAGTTTGCGAGTAGGATCTGTGAAACGAACCCAAAGTAAGGGCATGATTTGTGTCTTGTTATCTGTTGTTTTACATCTCGCATTGCATGCCGGTTCGTGAAACTTACCAAATGACTTTTGTCTATGAACCATGTGTTAATTTTTTTTTTCATTTAACATCAACAATAATTTAGGACAGGTTTTTGACGATTTTCGTTTTTTTTTAAGTATTTTCTCATCGAGCTTTTGTTATTCGAGTTTTGAGGGCTGCAATTTGCTGTTAGATAGATTTAAAGTGAGTTGTTTGAACTGGGATTATTGTTACATGTTTGTAGATGTAGATCATCCAGGATTGTAGAGTCCTGAGAAGGACTGTTGTTGTTGATGTTGACTGACGTTTCTACAAACTTACTCATGTACAAACATGTCTAAATATAACTAGGTTAGACTGTCTTTGATAAACTTTTATTTTATATTTATCATTTATATTTTAGTGACGATGTGTTTGCTAGTTCAGACGCTGCCTACGTTCTGGCTTATTCTATCATGATGTTGACTACTGATCTACATAGTTCACAGGTTAAACAGACTTACTTCCTTTGCAATTGTTTTCTATAAAAGTGACTTTATGTCTAAGATCACGTGACTCCATTATGGTCACGCGAGATTTTCATGGCGTTGATATGGAGCCTTCATTGGAATCACGTGAAAATTTAGCCTTTAGATGCGACATCGTAATCATGTGAAATTTTCTTTCAGGTTAAACGGAAGATAACGAAAGAGCAGTACATTCAAATAAATCGTGGTATAAATGACAGTAAAGATCTTCCATCTGAATATCTTGAAGCAATTTATGATGATATTGCACAGAATGAAATCAAGATGAAACATACACCAAAAGTGAACAGTAGATACGATGCTACATGTATGTATTGGAACATTAATACGAGAATCAAGGCTTAACTGAAAAAATTGTACAGATGCTAGGTAAAGGTCTTGACTGCGAAGTGTAGAGTTCAGCTCTGAGACGAAGGTGAAGGTCTTGAGATGGAGGTGTTGGTCTTGAGATGGGTGTAGGAAAGGGGCTTATAATGGATATTGTGATGTTCGGTGTTGGTCCAATGACATTTTCATGAAAGTAAAGAGATTTTTTATTGTGCTTCCACTTTACAGATTTGCAAAGTGAGAAACATCGTCGTATGTTGTATTCTATGGAAATGGAGCAGATGGCGGAAAACGCCAAAAAACAAATGGAAGACGTGAGTCATATTCAGACGGATCTCGTCACTGCGACACAGATTGGTCACGTGAAGACAATGTTCAAGGTACGGGGGGTGGAGTCTGGAGGATAATCCTGGAGTCTCGAGGAATTGTGATGTCAACTCATATGGACAGTGCCAAGTACGGGGGGCGTAGATTTCAAAACATGATGACATTCATCTTAATCTTGTTAAAGAAAAGACTTAGATTTTATGTAATGAATGTTTGCGATGACGAAGAGTAAATCTGTTTGATAATCTAATATTTTAACTGAGCATTGAATGATTTTACTGAATTTTCTATTGAGATAATCCACTACTTAAGCTAAATCTGCTTCTTACAACCTTCCCAGTCCCCATTGTTGACCATTTTGCTTTGTGTGTTTAAGGTTGCATGGAGTCCGTTTCTTGCCGCGTTCAGCTTCAATCTACAAGACAACGACGATTCTTCTGTTTCTTCATTTTGTCTTGATGGAATCAGCTGTGCAATACGAATATCTTGCATATTCAGCATGCCTGTAAGTTGATAAACATACAACATTCTGTTCTTTTTTATATATTTGGGTATGAAATAACGACATTAATGTCTCTGCATACCTTTTCATCACCTGGTGACCCTTTCCCGGACATAAATATATATTCAAAACTATGTTGAATGTTGAATTGTTGAAATTTATGAATATATTTACGTAGTTACATACACGTCATGTTCTTTGCGTGTTATATGTTCAAAGTTTAGATTATACTCATATGTATACAATAAAAACAGATGTTTGTTTACCTTTGAATTAATTGTCTGTTTGTGTACATATATGGATATATCAGAATGCATGTGAATGTGAAATAATCTTTTCTTAGAAGTTTTTCAATGATTACAGCTAGTTATAATGATGTTAGGGAATATGAATGGAGATTCTTTACCATTAAGTTCATTTTTCGATACTCCTAATAACTCTTTTCACATTGTAGTTGGAAAGAAATGCTTTCGTACAAGCGCTATCCAGATTCACTTTACTTACTGCGACCAGTGGCACGCATATTCATGAAATGAAAACGAAGAACATGGAGACGAAAAATAATAACATATTATAATATAACGACATATATACTTTTCGTATTATAATATGTAGTTTATAATATGTTGTACTTTTTTGCAATATTAACATGGTCAGGTCCAAATGTTTTCTTTTTGAATTTCTATGGCTCGTTCATCAAAATCTTTTCCTTTTTCGTACTCTCCTATTTTACGGTAAAGCGAACCAAGATTTCTGTACGTTGTTGCAATATTAACATGGCCAGGTCCAAATGTTTTCGTTTCAATTTCTATCGCTCGTTCATAAAAATCTTTTGGTACTCTCCCATATCATTGTAACCCGAACCCAGATTGTTGTACCTTGTCGCAACATTAACATGGTCAGGTCCAAATGTTTTCGTTTCAATTTCTATCGCTCGTTTATAAAAACCTTTTGCTTTTTCGTACTCTCCCATTTTACTATAAACTGAACCCAGAATGTTGTACATTGTCGCAATATTAACATGGTCAGGTCCAAATGCTTTTTTTTTGAATTTCTATCACTCGTTCATGAACATATTTTGCTTTTTCATACTCTCCCATATTATCGTAAACAGAACACAGATCGTTTTACGTTTTCGCAATATTAACATGGCCAGGTCCAAATGTTTTCGTTTCAATTTCATCGCTCGTTCATTAATATGTTTTGCTTTTTCGTACTCTCCCATATGATTGTAAACCGAACCCAGATTGTTGTACCTTGTCGCAATATTAACATGGTCAGGTCCAAATTCTTTTTTTGAATTTCTATCACTCGTTCATGAACATATTTTGCTTTTTCATACTCTCCCATATTATCGTAAACAGAACACAGATCGTTGTACGTTTTCGCAATATTAACATGGTCAGGTCGAAATGTTTTCGTTTCAATTTCTATCGCTCGTTTATAAAAATCTTTTGCTTTTTCGTACTCTCCCATTTTACTATAAACTGAACCCAGAATGTTGTACATTGTCGCAATATTAACTTGGTTAGGTCCAAATGTTTTCATTTTAATTTCTATTGCTCATTCATAAAAAAGCTTTTGCTTTTTCGTACTTTCCCATATTATCGTAAACCGAACACAGATTGTTGTACGTTTTTGTAATATTAACATGGTCAGGTCCAAATGTTTTCTTTTTGAATTTTTATGGCTCGTTCATGAAAATCTTTTCCTTTTTCGTACTCTCCTATTTTACGGTAAAGCGAACCAAGATTTCTGTACGTTGTTGCAATATTAACATGGCCAGGTCCAAATGTTTTCATTTCAATTTCTATCGCTCGTTCATAAAAATCTTTTGCTTTTTGGTACTCTCCCATATCATTGTAACCCGAACCCAGATTGTTGTACCTTGTCGCAATATTAACATGGTTAGGTCCAAATGCTTTATTTTGAAATTCTATCGCTCGTTCATGAACATCTTTTGCTTTTTCATACTCTCCCATATTATCGTAAACAGAACACAGATCTTTGTACGTTTTCGCAATATTAACATGGTCAGGTCCAAATGTTTTCGTTTCAATTTCTATCGCTCGTTTATAAAAATCTTTTGCTTTTTCGTACTCTCCCATTTTACTATAAACTGAACCCAGAATGTTGTACATTGTCGCAATATTAACTTGGTTAGGTCCAAATGTTTTCGTTTTAATTTCTATTGCTCGTTCATAAAAAAACTTTTGCTTTTTCGTACTTTCCCATATTATCGTAAACCGAACACAGATTGTTGTACGTTTTTGTAATATTAACATGGTCAGGTCCAAATGTTTTCTTTTTGAATTTCTATCGCTCGTTCATGAAAATCTTTTCCTTTTTCGTACTCTCCTATTTTACGGTAAAGCGAACCAAGATTTCTGTACGTTGTTGCAATATTAACATGGCCAGGTCCAAATGTTTTCGTTTCAATTTCTATCGCTCGTTCATAAAAATCTTTTGCTTTTTGGTACTCTCCTAAATCATTGTAAACAGGGGCGGATCCAGGCTGGTGCAACTTATGCGAGTGCATCAGTCATAAAATTGAATAGTTAATCTTTCACAAAATTATAACTTACAATCAATACGAGCAAAATGCAAGAAATATATCAGATTGGAACGTTTCTAGTTTCTAAATGCTTTAAATACCTTAACACTGACAATATATTGACAACAGATATCATTGATGATTGAGAAATATTGTTAAAAGCCTTTGTAGATGGTTTACATGTGTCTATCATTTTGATTACAGCCGCATTATTTAAAAATGCGTTGTTAAATATGGCGTTTTTATGTGTCGGAATTTTTAGTGAAAATTTGTTTGATCATCCAGCTACACTGAGCTGAATTTGTATTACTACGTCACGGTGGCTAGATAGTGAATCACTACGTCACGGTGGGGAAAAAGTGCACCAGTTGGTGCAACAGTACCGAGTCTCTTTGGCCGAGTGAACCACCTAACCTCACGAATTTCATTGTTTTTTAGCCTACGTCACGATGGGAAATCGCTGCTGTTGCACTTAAGCCCACGAACACCAAAATTTCCTTCTGACTGGTGCACTTGAGCCAGAGTTATAAATCTTCAAACCTTCAAAATTATAATTACATGACTATGGCATTTGGCTTATTTATATCTTGAAGTCATCATGGCTGAAAGTAGGCATATATACGATCTTGGCTCATTGATTCAAGACAGTAAAACCAGCGAGATTTCTTCTGTAAGAAAGGATTATGAAGCAAAAGTCTCTGCTGCCATTCCGACTAAAACAGACCTGTTTCGAAAAGGAAAGCTGGCGAGAGATCTTAACGCAGAGTTGCTTACCCTAAGCATATGGGAGATAATTGGCGGGCTTTAAAGTAAGTAGCTAGATGTGCTTACTGCTTACTATGCTTGACATTGTTATGCATAGCTATAGGTCTATACTTGTATTTATGTAATGCTTATGGCTTACTCTCTTTAATGTTAGGAATATGATGGGAAGGGCACATGGGGTGTTTATTCCCTGTTGAATTTATTTAAATTTCAAAGCATCCTGACCTGCATTAACCTATTAAATCGAAATTTACTGTATTCTATTTTACAATGTCAAATTTCAAACTCCATGTCCAATATTGCTGGCTCAATGAAATTTAGCCAGTAGTATAAAGCAATGCTTTGGATTTATGCCATAACTAGTGTGCACATAATTATGCATGTTGTTGTGCCAAGTTTATAAAGTGTCATATAACATAAGATCACAAAACATTTTATTCACAACTATATGTTTGAATTTGGGTAATCCTGCATATTTATAGTGAAGATTTCTTCGGATTAAAGTCACTGGTAGAAGTCTCTACGTACTTCCTGGAGAAATCTCCACTCTAATTGTGCTCACATGGATATTGTGATTTCAAAGTTACTTAATATACATAAAAATATAAGATTGTTGTGCCTTGTCGCAATATTAACATGGTCAGGTCCAAATGCTTTCGTTTGATTTTCTATCCCTCGTTCATGAAAAGAAATCCTGATGATATGGTGGAGAAATTAAAAGCAAAACTGGTAGCGCAAGGATGCAGTCAGTCAGAAGGTATTGATTATCAAGAAGTTTTTGCTCCTGTTGCTATATACAACTCAATAAGATCATTGCTTGCAATTGCAAATGTATGTGATTGGGAAATCCATCAAATGAATGTGAAAACCGCCTTTTTACAAAGTGAGTTAGAAGAAGAAGTATATCTTAAGCAACCTGATGGTTTTGTTGATAAGAGTCGACCAGATTATGTATGCAAGTTGAAGAAGAGCATTTACGGTCTGAAGCAAGATGCTGGAACATTTCCATTCATGGTTATCTGCTGACTAATAATTATAAGAAGAACAGTGCAGATTCATGTGTTTACATAAAATCTGTTGAGTCCAGCAATGGCAAAATTAATTTTATCATTATTGCAATTTACGTGGATGACATGATCTTTCTATCAAATGATCTACAGATGCTGAAGGAAGAAAATTAAGCGATTGGAAAGCAGTTCCAAGTTGAGAATTTGGGTGAAATTCATCATGTTCTTGGAATGACCGTCAAACGCAACCGCAGACTACGAACTTTGTCAATTAGCCAAAAGAATTATCTAGAGGAAGTTCTTAAACGATTTCACATGGAAAGCTGTAAATCTGTGTCAACTCCTTTAGAATTTGGCAAGAAGTACGAAGCTTTATCACAAAGGGAAAAGTTTGTCGATATCTAAGCATATCAAATTGCAATTGGATGTATGAATTGTGCAACACTCATTAGTCGGCCTGACTTAGCAGCTGCTGTTTGTGTCCTTTCGACGTTCATGACAAATCCAGGTTTAGAACATTGGAGAGGGATAAAGAGAGTGTTTCGATACATTCAGGGAACACTAAACATTGGTCTAGTGTACAGATGGAAGCGATCCTGTCCTAAGAGGATACTCCGATGCCGATTGGGCAGGTGATTTGACCACACGACGTTCAACAACTGGGTATGTCTTTCAAGTTGAGAATAACACAGTTAGTTGGTGCAGTAAGCGACAAGGTTGATGTGTCGAAGTCAACTTCTGAAGCTGAGTATATTGCTCTAAATACTGCTTGCCAAGAGGGAATTTGGCTTAGAAGATTGCTTGAGGATATATACATAAAAATTGAAAAATTAACCGCCATATGAAAGTTATTTGAAGTTGACAGTCTAATGGGGAGAACTATTGGATACTTACAATTTTTACGTGTTCACCAACGGGGATTACAATGGAGCTAGTCATATGTACAATACTCTTAAATTGACTGCATTCTTATCTCGAAAAATCGTCAATTATTCAAGCCACGAACAATTCAAGGGAGCACGTGGTAAGATGGCGGACAGTGATGACTTGACGAGCTCCTCGAATTCATTAAATTTATCTTCTGAGTCTAAAAATCATTCCTTGAAAACAGTCAAATCAAATGTAAAAACAGATAATCTTATAATATCTGACAATCAGATTCAATGGCATGGAAACCTGAAGTTATTAAAATGTTTTATATCGAATACGCTGAACTGACGTGGCAAATGGAAATCACCTGGAGGCAACGTG